GTTATTTCAGCTAGATATTTCAGTATGGATCTAAAGCAAGCACATACTTAAGAAACTTAGAGATACGGTCTCATTGTCACACCATTAAAATTAACTACTACCCCACATATACAGTATTCAAATGTTCCTGATTCTTTCCTGGCTATTGTAATTAGTTGATATATCTCTTAAATATTTAAGAAAGGTATTTCCACTTTTTCTTCCTGGTAATGTATATGTTGAAGAAAATGGATCATTTCTCCTAGAATTTTTCACATTGAATCATGTGTTTGTGTGTATGTGTGAGTGAATGTGTCAGAGAAATTAGCAGCCTGTGATACCATTGCCTAGATCTATTTGCATTAGGGGTTGCACATTGGGGATATTCAGTTCTATAATCCTCATTTAGCTGAATTCATTTACAAATGAACTTCTTTCACTAAGTCTTTGGCTACTAAGTTCATATAGGAAAGACAGAATGAATACTTGATTCTGTCTCTTTTTGCCAGTTTTCAAAATAATGAATTGGTACACTAATATTCTGGGGAAATGACCAGTAGGTGAGCTATGAATTTACATTTGATGCTCTTCAGTTCATATAATTGTTTTCAGTCCCGTAACTGTCCAGTAGTAGCTTCTTTAAATTGACCGCTGAATCCTTTTGACACTAATTCAAGGTCAGTCCAAGGCACAAAATTTCCATTTCCTACTCCAGACTTGGAGTCAGCCACTTCTCCAAGAAACTTCGATTCCTTTTAGGAGGAAGTAGTATTTGGAGACCACAAATCTGGGCACTAGGTGTGCTCAGTGTTTCAGTGGACAGAGCTAGTCTATATTTTCTCAAGAGAAAAATGCAACATGAGTTCATTATGATATTTCCAATTTGTAACTCAGGATTATAGGATTTTTACTTGGCTTCTTTGATTTTTATATTTCTTATTCTTATTCTGAAAAAAAAAGCTTGGTTTGTAGCAACAGATTATAATTACTTTGCTTTATCTCAAGTTTTCTCAACTTCAGCACTATTGACATTTGGGGCAAAATAATTCTTGTGGTGGCTCTCCTGGTTAGCACCATCCTTGATCTCTTCTAGTACATTAGCAGTAGCAATCCCCCCAAGTTGTGACAGCAACAGAAATGCCTCCAGCCATTGCCAGTTGCACTCTGAGGGGCACAGTTACGTCTTCGTTGAAACCCGCTGCTTTGTCTTTATGCCATAGTTTCATAAAAACAATACTAATAAATTGTTACTAATAATATGATTACTGGGAGCTGTGTTTTTCCTTTTACAGTTTACCTCACTGGGATACACAATGAAATTACTCTGTTTTAAAGTTAATTGAAATAATCCCTCTTTGCCTTAACTTGATAGTGATTCAGTTAATTTGTTTTATTTTCACTTTCAGTTTTTAGGGATTACTTTTTTAAAAATGTAACTTTGTTGTTTTTTAAAAAATTTGTACGTGTGTACAATACTTAGATGATTCCAAAGTTGACTAAAAAACATATTCAGGGAAATCCATCCTCTATCCTTGCCCCTTCCGTCCTATCCTCTCTCTCTCAGCTTATAGGGTAAACATTTTTTAATTTTTTGGTTTATTTTTTCTAATACAAACAAGTTTATATATTCATGTCCACCTCTTTCTTAAACAATAATGTATTTTGCATATTTTTCTCCATCTTGCTTTTTTATAGTTTATTGTATTGATCACTGTAGCCATAAAAATTAGTTTTTACTGTTGTATCCCACTGTATGAATTTATTGTAGTTTGTTCAACAAGTCCCTGATTGATGGACATTAGGTTTTTTGCAGTCTTTGCTATTACAGTGAATGCTGTAAAAATACTGTAATGAATAATCTTGGTCATTCACCTTTCTATATTTTTACTAAAGTGTTACTGGGATAGATTTTTAGATGTGAAATTTCTGGATACATGTGTAAAAGAAAAAACAGCTGGACAATAGTTAAAGTGGTAAAAACAGATTATCTTTAGGAACTATTGGAATGGGGAAAAGACCTCATTGTGGAACTGGTTTCAATTCTGAGCATAACTTGGACAAGTGTGGATTTATAGCTAAAGGAGCAGAATGGAAAGTGGACAAGTGGATGGAAAATTACTAAGAGAAAACGTTTAGGTAAAAGGGGATCAGGGTTGGGGTTGGTGCTGGGAGTTGTAGGAAAAGTGTCCTCTCTTCCAGGTTATAGAGAAATCTACCTATGTTTCTTTAATAAAGAGTTTGCATTTTTAAGTTTTTTTATTGTGGTAAAATATATATAACAAATTTGCCATTTTATCATTTTTAAGTGTACAGTTCAGTGACATTACTTATATTCACAGTATTGTGAAACCATACCTCTATCCATTTCCAAGACTTTTTCCTCCCAAATAGAAATTCTGTGTCCATTAAGCAGTAACTCCCCATCCTCTCTTTTCCCAGTCCCTGGTAACTTATATTCTACTTTCTCTGTGAATGTGTCTTAGATTTCATATAAGTAGAATCATACAATGTTTGTACGTTTTTGTGTGTGGCTTATTTCACTTAACATATATTTTCAAGGTTCATCCATGTTGTAGCTTGTAGCAAAACTTCCCTCATTTTTTATGAAAGTAAAATTTTCCATTTTGTACACACATTTTGTTTACACATTCATCTGTTGATGGACATTTGGACTGTTGTCACCTCTTGGCTATTATTAATATTGCCTCAGCCACCAAACTTCCACAGAGGCTGCACCATTTTACATTACCTATAGCAGTGTGTCAGAGTTCTAATTTCTCCACATCCTTGCCAATACTTGTTCGTTTGTGTTTCACTAAGTAATGGTCATCCTAAGGTACATAAAGTGGTATCATTCTTGTTATCAGGCAGTCCAGTCTAGAGAGATCTCCCTATGCACTAGGTGAGACCGTATCCTGGGAGAGGGTTCTTGACTCTGATTAAGAAAGAATTATCATGCAAAGACTAATATTAATAAAGAAATGTACACACTCAAGGAAGGAGTGCAGGCATCCAGGTGAGCAACCCAGTAGTTTAGTAAAACAAAGTACACACTCCAGGAGGAAGTACAGGCATTGTTTAGAGATGAACAGTACCCCTGGGGTACAGGTTGGGTGGTCTTATAGCTGGAGTATAAGCAGGGGGTGGAATATTCATCTAGATAGGTGGGGTTTTCTTGGAATAGGGAGGGGCTTTCTGGGAAAATAGGGTGACACCCTTTTTTTGTCTTTAGATGGTTTCTACAGAACTATCCTGGCCCCAAGAGGCATGATTTTTAGTATACTAATAAGCCTATAATGTACTTTGAGGTAAAGCCAGGGTCAACTTCTCCATATTGGAAACAGTCAGTTTTGGCAGATCTGCTATCTATACCCTCATTTCCTATATCCCACAGAATAGTTTCCAGGAATGCTGAAAATCTAAACAAGTGCCTTACCAAATGTAAATACCAGCCAAAGTCCCCAGCCCCACCATGCTCATTTCTGGCTACCTACCTACTAAAACATTTTGAATGATGTTAAGCATATTTTTCATGTGCTTATTAGTCACTTTATGTCTTCTCTGGAGAAATGTCTGTTCAAGTTCTTTGCCCATTTTTTAATTGGTTTGTTTTGCTTGCTATTTTTAAGTTGCTTTTTTCTTAATTCAACATTTGATAGATTGCTGTAAACCTTAGGCTACTTTCCAGAGTTCTATGTTGGTTCTAAAAGTTTCTGCTTGTATTTCAGTGTTTCTGTGGGGAGCTTGAATCTATTTAATGGCATCAGTTCTGAAGTTTCTTTAGATTTTTAGATCTTGGGTATATTTGGAATTTGTGTTGGTTACAGTGACTCCATATGAATATTGAGTTCATTTACAAGTGTTTTTTTCTGATTTTTCTTTTAAATCTAGCAGTATGAACTCATGGGTTTTTGTTTAATTCAATGAATTATAGTTCATTAGTGTCATTTATTTTGATATTCCATTTCCCAGATTGTCTAGTGGGAACCGCTTCAGAAGACTTCAGTGTCCTTTTGATTTTATCAATCTTTGAACACCTTTTTACTTTGTGAAGCAAGAAGATGCTCCAGGATGTTTTCTTTTCCTGCTCTAGCCCTGGAATCAGCCTTTCCCTAGGGAGCCATGGTTCCTTTTCCTTTTCTTTTTTTTTAATTTTATTTTGAAACCAAGATCTGGGTGTTTGTTGCTTACAGATGGCTTGGACTGTTTTGAACATTGGCTTGTTTGCTTTTTTCTTACAATATTTTTGTTGTAAATGTAAAACAGTATTGCAGAAAGTTCGGGAAAGAGAAAAACCTGTAATTCTATTACCCCCACCACCATCCAGCATAAAACTTCATTTTTGCTCCTCACTGTCCATGTTCTCTTATGCATTCAATTGCATTCCTACCATATGAATGATTTTTGTTTCCTATATTTTTACTTATATGTTATCTTTTTTCCATTTACCTACATAAATTGCTTCATAATTATCTATAAGGGATACATATTATCCCATTAAGTAGTTATGCCATGATTACTGGGCAGTTAGTGTATTACCAGTTTTCCCTAACAAATAACAGGTGTGGTGGACAAATTTTCTGTATATAGCTTGTTTTGTTCTTTGAAACTCCCAGAAATACAGAAAATCAGGGTCAAAAAGTGGCTTTCTATAGCGTGTAAACACATCTTCTCAGTGTACTTATATTGATTTGATTTTTGTTGCTTACTGGAGATGGAGTGGAATGTTCCATTCACTATTGTTTGCTGATAAATCAAAGGGTACCTTATAGTTTATCTTAATTTTTAGTAAGTTGTTATTTTACCAGAAAATTATCAGAATCCAAATTTATTTTTTATTATTGTTGTGCTTTGTAGATGAAAATGATAGCTTTGAGTTTGGTCACTAATACTTAAGGCCTTTTTAGTGCTGCAACTTTAGGGCTATATACTAATGTGTTAAATAATATTAATGCATAGATAGGAACGAACTTACTCAATAAATTCAGAGCTTTAGCTTTTGTTTCTTTTTACTTTTTCAGTAAGGCAAAAGAGAATGAAAGAAGTAGATAATCTTGAAAGCATAGAAGAAGAATGGTAAGTAAATTAAACTGAATTTTCTTTGTTATTAATGCATTTGTTAGTATCTTTCTCTATTTACAGCATTTCAATGACTGATACAATTTGTTTTCATTATGATTACTTCAGTTAAATACCTAATAGTAATATATTTTAAAATAATGTTTTTACCATAGCTACATTAAAAGAATTTTAGTCGTTACTAAATCTTGATTTATAAAGTGTTAAATTTCTCTCTATCTCATATTCTGTTAATTCAAGTGAAAAACTCAAGCAACTGTTTACTTTCATTAACCTTTTGTGTTTACTACCTTGGTATCCTAGTAGAAATAAAAGGGATTGGAATCAGATAAACCTAGGTTTGAATCCCATCTCTATCTTATGCTATCTCTTTGTCCCTTTAGCAACTTAGATTGCTTGTGCTTCCGTATCTGTTCTATAAAATGGGGATATGCATGAGTGCCTGAAAGGTGTTTGTGAGAATTAGATAGCTGATAAAAAAACCACTTCATGTAATATTAGCACATAACAGGCACTCAATAAATGGTAGCTGCAGAGTCTAAGGTTCTTATCCATACAAATTCTTTATTTTCACTAATCCGAGATGAAATCTTTTTTTTTGTCTTATGCTTTTTGTTTTAAATATTTAAGGAGGTAAATTTGTTTCACTCACAGTCCGTTTAAGGAAAGAGACAATTACTTATTTCATACTTACAAATGCCTTGTAAACTCATCTATACCAAACAAGTATTTATTTTTTCACTAGAGTATTCATTATTTTATGTAAATATTTGATACCAACTAAAAGATTCTCAGGCTTCAGCATATAGTCATGCTAATGAGTATAATTTATTACAATGAAAGGATACAAAGCAAAATGAGAAAACGGAAAAAGCATATGGACCAAAGTCCAGGAGAAATCGGCACAAGCTTCCAAGAGTTGTTGCCTGGTGGAATCGCCTGAAATGCACTTAATTCCTCCAGTAATAAGTTATGACAGCATATGTCATAACTTATATTTTCTCCCAAGGAAGTTCACTGAAAATGAGTCTAGGGTTTTTCCTGGGGACTAGTCACATATAATTCTAGGCTCTCACAAGGAAAGTAAGCAGGCCTTTGAAAAGATAGCAGGCCTGCTATGTTAACTCTCTTTCTCCGTAGAAATAAATTGAACGAACAATTTGAAAGATTAAAATTAACTTAGAACTTTTTTCAGTGACTTTATTAAAACATAATTCACATACCACACAATTCATCTATTTGAAATGTACAGTTCATTGGTTTTTATTTAGTACATTTACAGAGTTGTGCAGCCATCACCACACTCAATTTTAGAACAATTTGATCACCACAAAGAGGTTTCCCATTCCCATTAGCAGTCATACCCCATTGTCCTACCCCTGACAACCATAGTATACTTTCTGTTTGTAGATTTGCCTATTCTGGGCACTTAATATAAATCGAATCATATGCCATGTGGTCTTTTATAACTAGCTTCTTTCACTTAGCATAATGTTTTCAAGGCTTCATCCATGTTGTAGCCCTGTATGAGTACTTTAAATTTAATTAAATAATTATCAACTATAATTCAATTTTAAATAGCTTAATAGTTAAACTAGTAAGGTGTCTACATAAATAAAATAAGAGTTTGTTAGAAGCAGTAGTCCAGTAAAAAAATGAAAAGAAAACTGATTTCCTAAGTGTATTATTTGTTCAAAGACTATAGTTGTTTAAAATCCATATTTACCATATGTCCTACCAAAGTATACACAGTCACAAATCTTTCACGTGTGTGGACAGCAGCTAACTGTCGCGAACACAGTAGTGAAGGAGTGAGCAAAAGAGGCTGTTCTGTAGCCAGTATAGATGTTTCAAAGTCTCTTTCTGAAGCTTATGTACCTTTTATTAGAGGAACTCCTGAGACTTCAAGGCTACTGAGCCATACAACTTTGGTAATCTGGGTTTCCAGGTTATGAAGAGGAGTATTGATGTTTCATCCTAAAATGATAGTGACAAGGAAAATGACAGAGTAGGACAACAAATATGAAATAATAAAATTACCTGGATGTATTTAATACTAAGGCAAGTTCTCACCCAGTATGCTCAGGGGATTTTGCTATATAATAGCTTGATATGGTAAAATATAAAGGGGTTCCCTGAAATGTAAAGAAATAATAAATATGGTGTACTTTTCCTGTCTATCCAAGAATGTCTTTCATGCTCTTTTTAAATTACTACTAATAGATTTTATTTTATTTTTATTTAAAGTATTGTTGGTATACAATCTTATGTTGGTTTCAATTATACAACACAGTGGTTCAACAGTTACCTACCTGTATTATTAAATCTTCACCCCCTCTAGTGTGGTTACTACCTGATACATTTTATTTTTAAGAGTAGTTTTAGGCTTAAGGAAAAATTGGGCAGAAAATATAGTTTCTACATCCTCATCCTCCATCCCCATCCCCTCCACACACCACACAATTTTCTCTACTACTTAATAAACATCTTGTATTAGTGTGGTGGATTTTTTACAACTGGGAACCAATATTGGTACATTATTAACTATAGTTTATATTTGGGTCCACTCTTTTTGTGAGTACAGGTCTGTGGAGTTTGACAAATAGTGCTAATGTGTATAGCGTTGTGTTCTTATTTCCATATACCAGTTATTGCTTGTTGGTATAAAAAACACTTGGCTTTTGTATATTAGTCCTGTATCCTGCAATCTTGCTGTAATTGCTTATTAGTCCCAAGAGTTTTTGTTGGTTGTTGATTCTTTGGGTTTTTACATAGATAGTCATTTATCTGCAAACAAACACTTTTTTTCTTCCTTCCTGATCTTCATAGTTTTATTTCCTTTTCTTGTCTTACTGGTTTAGCTAGTTTCCAGTATGGCATTAAAGAGGAGTGGTGAGAAGGGACATTTTTGTCTTGTTCTGACCTTAGGGGAAAATTTACATCTATGTTCATGAGAGAGATTGTAGTTTTACCTTCTTGTTATGTCTTTGTCTCATTTTAGTATTAGGGTAATGCTGACCTCACAGAATGAGTTGGAAGTGTCCCCTTCTTTTATTTTCTGGAAGAGATTGTAGAGGATTGATAACATTTCTTCCTTAAACATTTGGTGGAATTCACCATTGAAATCATCCATGCCTGGTGCTTCATGTTTTGGAAGATTATTAATCACTGATTCAGTGTCTTTAATAGATGTAGTATGCCTATTTGTAGTATCTCTTTCTCCTTGTGTGAGTTTTGGTGGATCGTGCCTTTCAAGGAATTGTTCCATTTCATTTAAGTTATAAAATTTGTAGGCATACAGCTGTTTCTAATGTATCTACTTTTCTGTAAGAAGTTGTCATTGCTCTGGAAAAAGTGTAATTATAATTAATACTTTGTGATAATATGGAGTGTCTTAAAAGTAGAGATTGAGAGAATTACCTAGAAGAGTAAAAAGTATATACCTAAATTAAAACATTCTCCTGCATATAGCATTTTAATAACAATATAGTAATGGCTATTTTGAGAGACAGTCTAGCAAAGTGATATAGAGCACAAACTCTAGGTTCAACTTCCAGCTCTTCCTCCCAATAGGTTTGTGATCTTGGGCAAATAGCTTAAGCTTTTTCTTTATGTATTATATGGAGATAAAAACAGTACAGAACTTTTAGGTCTTTGTGAGGGTTGAATGAGTTAACACCCATAAAGTATTTAGATAGTTCCTATCATGCATTAATAAATGCTCAATAAAAATTAAGAGAGGCTTTACAACATATCATGGTTAGCATAAACTTCAAAGATTAACAGGATGGAATTCCCTTTCTGCCACTTACTAGCTGTGTAACCTCAGATAACCTCTCTATGACTTATCTACTATATGATTCTTGGCACAGTGTAAGAGCTATAGAAGTGTTGATTAATATAGAATCTGGGAAGTAATTTTTTAGTGTATTTATGAATTTTTCTATGTGACCAGAAAAGATCATCTGAACCACAAGCCATCTTTTCTGTCAAACAAAATCGTAGGTAATATTTCTTATATGATGAAATACAAATAAAAAATAAAATCCTGTAAATGGAAGTGGGCAAAATGGGTGAAGGTAGTCAAAAGATATAAACAAATAGTCATAAAATAAGTCATAGCAATAAAATACACAGTACGGCAACTATAGTTAATACTGGATTGTATATTTGAAAGTTGATAGGAGAGTAAATCTCAAAAGTTCTCATCACTCACAAAGAAATTTTGTAGTTACATATGATGATTGATGTTAACTGGACTTAACTATGTCAATCATTCACAATATATGCAAATACTGAAATCATGCTGTACATCTGAAACTAATGTATATCAATTATACCTCAGTTTTTTTTTTTAAATAAAGAATTTACCAGAGTATTAAACCACTGCAAATGAAAATCTGTGGGAAATCTCTTCTGAAGTGTGCAAAGGAGCAAAACTGATTAAGACAGTTAATACTGATGCATTATCATCTTTAGTTTCAGAAATGCTTTCTGTTACCAGAAAATAGATAGTAACCCCTTTTAAAGTCATTTTGAGCCCTTTACAAAAGAACACATTTTTTACCCTAGTTTTCATCCTAGTGAGATTTTGTCCCACAGAGGACATATGGTGATGTCTCGAGATGTTTTTCGTCATTACAACACTGCTGAGGAGGTCTGCTAGCCTGCTGGCATCTAATGGGTGAAGTCCACAGATGCTGTAGCACATATATAATGCACAGGACAGCCCCACACCAAATTATTCGTCCCCAAATATCAACAGACTGAAGTTGAGAAAACCATGCTCTGGACTGTAAAGGTAATGACTTCCCAAGCTCACATAACTTAGAAGAGGATCTAAATAGAGGGTCTAAACTGTGGACATGGAGGTAGAATCTCAGCTCAGGATTTCTGAACTAGAATAATTTATGTAAATTTTTAGAGAATTAGCAGTTAATAGTGCTTATTTTTCTTCTTTGTGTAGGGTTTGTGAAACAGGATCTGATAACCAACCTCTTAATGATAATCAACAAACAAATTGTGAATATTTTGTTGATAACCTTTTTGAGGAAGCTCAGAAAGTTGGTGCCAAATGCTTGTCTCCCACTGAACAGAAGAAACAGGTAAAATGTCTGCAACTTTTTTCTCTTTCCATGTTTCTCAAAACATGAACCTTCTACAGTGTCTGTGAGGTAAAAACTATTTTCATATTAAAAGTAAGATAGTATGTAGCTTTTTCATTTTGTTGACTTGGCACTTTACTGCAGAAGCAATGGTGGGTAAAACTGCTGGCGCCTTAGGAGAAGCCAAGGCAGTGGCACCAAACTGCGGTTACTCAGACTTGCATGTTCACCAGACATTTTCTCAAAATGTGTGAAGTGAGTCTGACACTTCAAGGAATACAGCTTCCAGTGTTTGTTGCAAATGGTAAGATTTGATTTTATCAACCTTTTTTAGTGAGAATGAGAATTTTGGTAAACTGCCACCATGGACTTGACAGCTTCCCAAAGATTTTTGTGATGATCTCATTGTCATATTAATGGATCTTTTTAAAAATACACTGTATAATGAAATATATTGACATTTGGGAGAACTTCCCCTGCAGCTACATATATTGTACAAGACTTGATTTCTCGTTTTCAACATACTTCAATCAAAACAACATACTGTGAATAAAAGTGATAGCAGTTATGAGAATCCAGCTGACTTTTTGAAGTCAGATGTGAAAGGGATTGATTTTTTTATTAAAGAAAATGAGGATTTAACACTCTGTCCTACATCCCCCTCCTCCCCCAAACAATCCCTTCTCAATCTTCTAACATAGATATATCATAATTTGGGGTTCAATCAATTATGACTTTATAATTTTATGACTTTGTAAATACTATGCAGCATAACTGAGTCATGTATTATGATACTTCTTTTCCTGGCTGCTTTTTAAATTTTCATTAGAATTAATAATTTTTTTCCTTCCACATTGGCTTTATTGTCTTTATGTTTATTATTAACTCATCCCAAACTCTCTGATAGAAGGCTATTTCTTTTCCCAGTATGTTTGAACACATTAGATAATCTTACCAGTTTATTTTTTCTGCGGGACAGCTGTGGTGAAAGCCCTCCATCTTTGTTCAGGGGACTCGTGGCCCTTTAGGGGAGCTATGCTGCCATTGCTCTGGAATCTATGATCCCGAACATTCTCTTTCAATCTCCCCTCTGTTATGATTACTCAGTTCCATGCCTCTTCCAGCCCTTAACCTTTATGTTTCCATTTTTATGAAGCCAGTCTTTATGGAAAAAAGTTTGTGTGAAAAGAGTGCATGGGAAATAGATGGCTGACAACGTTGCAAGCCTGTATTGCCTTTACTCTGCTTTCACGCTTGATTGATAGAATACGTTTCTGGTATATGAGCCTTTGTATGTGGCATGTTTTTGCTTCCTGCAAGCTAGTAGAATCTTCTCTCTAACCCTGTGTTCTGATGGGCCTTGATATGAGTCCTTTCTCATTCATTCCATTCAGAAATTTGTTTTACCATTTCTGAGTCTTTTCTCAGGTCACTGCTTTGATATTTTGCTCCCCTGTGTTGCTAGTCTCTCTAGAATGCTTCTACTTACAGATATTGGACCTCTTGGACTAATAAGCCCCTTAATTTTTTTTATTATTTTCCTACTTTCCACTTTTTTCTTGTTTTGTTCTATTTTAATTTAGAAATTTCTTCAACCTTATATTCAGTCTTTTATTCAGTTTTGTTTTCTATTTCTAAGATCTCTTTTGTTCCCTCCCTATTCTCCTTCACACATCATTTTTTCTTATTTGAGTATATTATCATTTTTGGATTTTCCTTTAGTTTCTTCTGTTTCCGTGTCTTTATGTGCTCTTTTCTTTCTGTTCTCTTTTATGTGAGTACCGTGAGAGCAGAGACTTGACTATTTGGTTATAGGTATAAAAGGGACAGTATAGGATAGTGGTTAAGAGTGTGGATTCAAGCCCTAGCTCCACTCCATCTCTCACTGACTGCATGACCTTGGTCAGTTTAATTAATCTTCTGTTTGCCCATCTATAGAAGAGAAAATAATACTTACCTTGTGTAGATTTGGGGAGGAGTAAATAAGTTTATGTAGAGAAAGTGCTTTAAACAGTATGTGGTACAAGTTAAGTGTACTCTTCTTGAATGGTTGGATGGATAGATGTGCTATCATTATTATTATTTTCCCTAACATCTTAATGGAGGCTCTGTTACATATTAGGTAGTCAGTTAACATGTCGATTGAATAAGTGCCAGAGACAAGAAAGAGGCTCTAATGATTTGTTACCATCTTAAACAGATTTTTAATCAGTCCTCCTGTGTTCAGCCTGAAGCATTTCTGCATTCTGTGCTATTCCTGAACCTTTCTAGTTTTCTACAGTGATTTAACCTTTTTGAATGAATGAGTGAATAAATATTGTTCTTATGATCTGGTAAGATGTTAAAGGATGAAGTGCTGGTAACAGTGAACACTGGTGTTTTAAACTTGAAGGAATAGCCATTAAGTAATTCATCATAGTTTTATCCCTCCAGTACATTATTCTTAATGTTCAAAGTCATTCCAAACTCCTCCTCTAACTTCTAATAAGAAGTCTGTTTTGCACAGAAAGCTTTAGTGTTCTCTGAGAAGGGGCACAGAATATTTTTGAAATGAGTTCTTTTTAAGAAGACTATTGATCTGTTTTAAAATAATTATGAACCATATTATGAATGTACATTATTTTTTATATTTTACAGTTGACAGTTACTCTTCAGAATGGTACATAAAATTGTGAGGGAGGAGTAATTGGAAGAAGATGGTCAAAAAGCACAAAATTCCAGTTATAAGATAAATAACTACCAGGGATATAATGTACAACATGATGACTATAGTTAACATGCTGTATGGTATATAAGAAACTTGTTAGAGTTTTTTCTTTTTTTCTTTCCTTATTGCATCTTTATGAGATAATGGATGTTAGTGGAACCTGTTGCAGTAATCATTTCGTAATATAAATCAAATCATGATGCTCATGATGCTGTATGCTTTAAACTTATACAGTGATATATCAATTATTTCTCAGGAAAACTGGAAAAATTTGTAGCTGTGTGTGGTAATGATGGTTTTTAAATTTATTGGCGGTAATCATTTTACAATATATGTTCACATCAGATCATTATGTTGTACCCCTAAACAATAATTCAATTTTATTAGTTATATGTCAGTTATATCTCAACTTAAAAAAAGTGATACATAAAATATATACTGATAGAAATTTTCAAAAGACTTTTAATCTACTAGTGTATTTTATTAACATGATGCATTTTGTTTCTTACTGCTTTACAGGTAGATGTAAGCATAAAATTATGGAAAAATGGATTCACAGTCAACGATGATTTCAGAAGTTATTCTGATTGTGCAAGTCAGCAATTTCTTAACTCCATCAAAAAAGGGTATGCTCTTTTGTAAAAAGAAGGGTATTATAGGTATGTTTCATTTGGGAGGATCTTTTTTAATGTTTACACATCCCCTACACATTCACAGATACTTTTCTTTTTTAAATTCAGATTTTCATAAGATGGGTTTTCTTAAGAGAGCCATAGCTATAATTTTAAAGAAAATTTAAGAATTTGAATTCTAAAAAATCAAAATCTGACTTAAAAATTTTATTTGCCATGTGTACTTAGTACCCCATCCTAGTTGTTATTTAGTATTTGGTTAAGTATCTATAGTATCTATAGTCTTTGAATTCTGATTTCCATTGCCCTGTAATGTTTATTCTATTTTTATGATTCTGTTACATGTCTTGAAATGTCTGAATATATCTACATATTATTTTTTTATCAAAATGATGATGCATAATTTTTATATATACACTTAGTTGTTATTGGCAGTTTTGATTATTTCTTAATTTTACCACTATAAAAGATATCTGCACCTATCCTTGTATTTAATATTTTTTAAATAGTAGCTTTATTGAGATATAATTAGCCTACAATAAAATCCATCCCTTTAAATTGTACAATACAGTATTTTTTAATGCATTCAGAGTTGTGCAACCATCAGCACTAATAAAGAAAATTTCATCAACCCAAAAGGAAACTCCATTCCTGTAGTCACTCAGTTTCCTCCTCCCACAACTCTACCAAACCTCTAATTTACTTACTGTCTCTATGGGTTTGCTTATTTTGAACAGTGTGTGTGTGTGTGTGTGTATATATATATATATATAAATGAAATCCTTTTGTGTCTGACCTCTTTCAGCATAATTTTTTCCAAATTCATTGATATTAGAGCTTTTATTAGTCCTTCATTCCTTTTTATTGCCAAATAGCATCTGCGTTGTATGGATATAACACATTTAGTTTTTTCCATTTATCAGTGGATAGATATTTGGGACACTTCTGCATTTTGCTATTATGAATAATACTGCTGTGGACATTCATATAATATACAGGTTTTTGTGTGGACATGTTTTCAGTTCTCAGGGGAACTAGGAGCAGAATTGTTAATTCTGTTTAACTTTATGGAGAACTAGTGAACTATATTCCAGAGTGACTGCACCATTTACATTCCCACCAACACTGTACAGAGTAATAATTTTTCCATAATATCTTCACCAATACTTGGTAGTGTCTTTTTTTTTAATTATAGCTATCCTACTGGGTGTGAAGTGGTATTTCATTGTGGTCTTGATTTACATTTCCCTAACAACTAGTGATGTTCATCTTTCTGTGTACTTACTGGCCATGTGTGTATCTTCTTCGAAGAAATGTCTATTCGAATGCTTTGTCTATTTTTTTTCTTTTCCTAATTTTAAAATTGAGTTGTTTGCCTTTTTGTTGAGTTTTAGGAGTTCTTTATATGTTATGGATGCAAGTCCCTTATCATATGAATGATTTTAAAATGGTAGTTTGGTAGAAAGAAAATTAGGAAGGGATGTGAACATTCTTTCAGCTATTGATGCTCATGTTCATGCTTCTGCTTTCCAAAAAATATATATTAAATTCCTATCCCATGACACTCTCTCCTTAGCACACGTTTGTATGTATGACATTCATTGGTACAAAGCACTTAATTTGGACAGTATTCAGTTCAGAAGGGTTGACAGTATTCTTTAACCAATTTTCAATATATACATATATACATATATATATATATATTCTGGGTATATATATATATATAATGTAGATACTGTAAGTAATACAAAAGTTGCATAGTACAAATAACTTTGTTCCTAAAACCATTTGAGAATAAGTTGCTAAAGTGATGCCTCATCATCCTCAGTACTTTAGTGTATATTTCCTGTAAACAGGGACATTTTCCTATATAACCACAATGCAGCCATCCATTGATATGTTACTGCCATTTAATCCTCAAGACTACTCAAGTGTCACTGTTTTATCAAGTGTCACTGTCTTAATATTTGTTATCCTTTATAGCAAAAGCATCCAATTCAGAATTATGCATTCCATTTAGATGTCATGACTCTTTAGTCTCCTTCAGAATAAAATGATTCTTGAGATTTGATTTCTTCTTTTTTTTTATACAATTTTGACACTTGAAGATGATAAGCCCGAATTATATAGAATGTCTCTCATCTCAGTTTAGATTTATCGGAGTTTGTCCTCATGATAAGATTACAATTACACATTGTTGGTAGGAATATCACAGAAGTTTTGCCATCCTTACTTAAATGGTAATTTTTTCTTAATAGTTTTAGCCATGTTAGCATGTCATGTAATCTTTACCATGTAATTTCATTTCATCTGTTTTTTGAACTCTATGGAAATTGAATGTGTTTGTGTCTACTCAGCTTACTTCTTTGGAATGTGCATCCATGTTGTTGTATATAGCTGTAGTCAGCATGAATCCCAGAACAAATATAAGAAAATGGATAAATTTGATTATGTAAATATAAAAAGCTTATGTGTACCAAAAGTTACTATATACAGTCAAAAGACAAATGCCAGACTGGAAATACTTGTTACACATATGTCATGTAAATAGAATATATATACAGTTCCTACAAATCAGGAAGAAAAAGATGGGAGGTACATTTTGTATGTTTCTGCCATTTGATCTACTTTTTAACAGAGTAATAGTGTGCATTTGATAAAAATGACATGTATCCATATGCTAACAGGAGAAAATTTCTGCAGTACACACACATACATATTTTTTTTTCCCCAAAAAAAAGTCAGTTTGCAGAATACAGAATAGTGTGTACAGATTGATACCATCTATGGATACAATAAAAATAATTATATGGCATTTTACTGTATGTATAGAGAAAATCTAGAAGACTCAACCCAAAAGTTTTTATTAATGTGTGAGTGGGATCATAAGGACTTTCACTTTCTAAGTTGACATGTGTTTACTTTTACTTAAATCTAAATTTTTTAGAACAAGCATGTTTTAAATTTTTTTCAGATATGACATGTATAGAAAAATACACAAATCATCAGTATATGCTAAATGAATTTGTATTTTCTGAAAATTATTTCAAAGAAGTTTGTTAAAACTGGTAATTTGTAAAAATTCCCTTGTGGAAGTATATTGCATATATATCAGGTATATTCTGTAACACTGTAAACTTTCAAATGCTCATTACAAAGATGCTACCTTTAAAAGATCGTAAGATTCAACAGATTATCTGTTCACTCCTTCTGTCTACCATGCACTGTTTTGTTCTTGGGACTAGAATATGTTTATGAGTAAAAGAGATGTGGTCCCTGCTCATAGGAAGTTTAACATATTTGTATTTTATTTTCTTTGTTATTTCTAGGGTAAATCTGTATTTTCATTTAAAAATTAAAATTAAAGCTTCATTTTTCTATTTTTAGTCCTATTCAGACACCTGTAGAAATCAACTATTTAAATTTAGCAGTATATAGTCATCAAATATTTCATCACTATAATAGTGTTTAGTTCAATAACTCAGCTATTTGTGAATTTGTAGTCTTAAAAATTATTCTCTTGTTCTTTTTGGGTTTTGGTATTCATATTTAATTATTTTAAATACAGTTTTTTGTTGTAAAGAATATTACATGTTCCTTATTTCTGTTTATTTTTCATTTATCTTTGGATACAGAGTATGGTTTTTCAGAGATAGAAGAACATAATGAATGGTTTATCACTTTATTTCTTTAACTTCCAAGGGAATTACCTTTAGAGTTACAGGGAATTTTCGATAAAGAGGAGGTTGATGTTAAAGTCGAAGACAAGAAAAATGAACTGTGTATGTCAACCAAGCCTGTGTTTCAGCCCTTCTCAGGACAGGGTCACAGACTGGGAAGGTGAGCAGGCTTATGATGTTCGTTTTCCATAAGCGGAGGCAAAACTGTATGAATAAGTCATTTTTCTCCCTTGCACCCACCACTTGAGTTTTGCCATTAATGTTAGAGTACTTATGCTCCTTTTTGAATATAGGGTTCCATTTTATAGTTACCAGTGTCTTCAATATTGTATTCTATAGACAGTATCTGAATTCTGAGATAATAAAAATGGGGGAGAAATGCCAAGATGAAGTTAGTGTCTGTATCAAAGTTTTTAATTATTTTCAGATTTTACAGACTTCATCATAACTAACTATGCTTTATGACAGAATATGCCATGAGGTTAGATATGGAACCACCTTTTTTTTATTAAATCAAAATTGGTAAGGTATATATACATATCCATCCACATGTATAAAAATACCTGAATAGGACTTTCAGAATGATCAGGAAATACTTTATTTCCTATCTTTTCCTTTATAACCCAAGGACTACTCTCTATAGAGTACTTATCATTTCTTTTGAAATTTTAACCTGGGGAGTAGATACAGGTTGTATGTCTATCAACCCAGTAAAATTGTATATTCTCTAAGGCACTATTCAAATGATTATAACAGCATATTCATGCAGTACTTTCTTTACAGGGTTACAGATTGCTTGTGTATGCATAATATCATTAGATTCCTACATTCATCATGTAAGATGGACATGATTAATACTAATACTTGTATGTCATTGAAACAGCTGCAACTTACTAATTCTTCCTAAAAGCTATACTTAATATAAAATGTTTATAGTAATTGTTTAATGATAAAGTTCTGCTTAATAAAAAAACATGCATCTGACTTGTTGTCTGGATTTTTTTTAGTGCAACACCAAAAATTGTCTTTAAACCAAGGAGTACTGAAGTTGAGAATAAAAATAATTTGTCTACTGTCCAGCTAAACAACCTAGAACCCATCACTAACATACAGATCTGGTTAGCCAACGGGAAAAGGATTGTCCAGAAATTTAATATTTCTCATAGGTGAGTCTTCATTTTACTGTGTGTCTGATTTTTTTCCCTCAGTTTAAATTTCATTTCTTCCTTTCACTTTGGTCCACAGTTGTTTTTACTGACTAACCAAGGATCTTAATAAATAGTTCCCCAAACATAATAGTAATATGACAATAGAATTCTTGAACATTAGTGGAGTATTTTTAATCTGTTCTGTGAGTTAGCACTTTTATCATTTGATATATTTTCCTGTTTAACTAGATACATAATTTTAAAAGAATTATTTTTAATGTTTTTAAAATCAGTAATTAGCATTATGTGCCTATTTTTCTGTTAATTGTAGAAAAAATGAAAATACAGGAAAGTATTGAAAGATACTGAAGTCACCATCGCCCAGAGATAATCACTAGTATCACTGTTGAAATTTTTTTTTTTTTCATTTTAATGGAAAGCAGGAGCATGCTATATATAGGTTTCCCTCTTTATTTATAAAAGATTTAAAATTTGGGGGTAAGTTTTATACAAGCAAAAATATACATGTGTGTAGTTAAAATAAGAATTATAAAAACCCATTCAAAACATACCACTATGCCTTCTGCACCTCTCCCTGATCATATCTCTTTCTTTTGTGCAAAATAAACTATCTAAGTATGTGTTAATCATTTTCTCCTTTATTCAATTTTACCAAGCATATGTGTATCCCTAAGAAAGATACTGAGTTTTGCTGGTTTTCAAATAAGTAGTTTAAATTTAAGTTAATCATGTGCATACAAAGAAGTTCCAAGAATAGTATAAAGAACTTTATTTTCTAACCATTCAGGAGTAAGTTGCAAATCAAGTGACCCATCACCCAAAATACTTTAGTGTATGTTTCCTACAAACAAGGACATTATGCCACATAACTAGAATTCAGCCAGAGGCCATTGAGAATCACACATTGCATTTAGTTGCCATGTCTTAGTTTGAAATAATAGTTCCTCAGTCTTTGCTTGATTTTCATAACCTTAACATTTTTTTCTTTAGTTATAGGTCAATATTTTTATTTGTTCATTTCTTGTGATTATATTTAGGTCACTAATTTTGGCAGGAATATTGCTGAAGTAATGCTTTGTATCTCTTACTGCATTTTGTCAAGTGGCATCATGTACATTTTGTCCCATTATGATGTTGTTAAATTGCCTCACTTGATTAAAGTGGTATCTGCCAAGCTCCTTCACTGTAAAGTTATTTTTCTCTTTGTAATTAACACATATTTTGTGGGGAAGAAGTTTGAAGTTGAATGATTATTGTGTTCTTCCTAACACTTCAAATTTTTTCATTTATTTATGTGTATTATCGACTCATAGTTTCCTGTTTTATTCAATAGATCATAATCTCTTACCAGCATTATTTATTTAATACTCAAATTGTTCCAGATACAGTCAGTAGGACCTCCTTTAAACTCCTGACATAGTCCTATTGTTGTTTGTGCACTTCAGTTTTTTCTGGAGCAAAATTTTTTTCCAGATTCATTCTGTACCTTTTCTAAGAAGCTGTAGTTCTTTCTAGTGGACAATGATACTGAGAAGCCAGAATCTGGAGTGCTAGGTATCTTATTGCTTCTTTGGATACCACCACTCCCAGGCCCTCTGAGTGGATAGAGCTACAGGTGTATATGAGTGTGCATACATGTACATACATGTACGTAATACATATATGCACATACATTTACATTTGTATGTCTGTATCTTTGCACATTGAAAACCATGAGTTCACATACATAACTCCAATTTCAATCTACCACCATAGGATTTAGTCTAGTCTTTCCCTTTGCATATTTGTTACTAACTACTCCCACTGTGAAAAGCCTGGCCCCAATTATTGTTAATGTATTTATTTATTGGTCAGTTCTCCTACATATAACCAGTCTCCTTTTTCCACTAATACCTCCTCCCAAACATGGGACACTCCTCACCATGCTGGGCTCTAACTCTCCTTTGTTGAGTTCCTATATAGATTCCTTTGTCTTCTACTGGGTCTCTGGCCCATCATTCCAGGCCACTTCAACACCCCATGCCAATGACCTCCTCACCCTCTTGGGCTCTGACACTGTGCTCCGTTGTTCCCCCATACTTGGATGTTCTGTTCACCCCTTTCTGGTTCTGACTCAGTACAGTCTGCCACTCTTCTGTGTAAGAATGCTCTTTTTATTCTGTTTGAGATAGCCTGCTTTGTTACCTCTCCTCCTCCCACTCAGTTTGGTTATATACCTCACTCCCCTTGGCCTCTGCCACTCTGCACTGGACAGCTCTTCTGTGTGGACATACTTCCAGCCCTGTTTGTGCTTGTAGCCACCACCCTGCCTTGCTCCCGCTGCATGGACATCCTTGTCATGCTCTGATACGATGCAGGTGGGCAGCTTTCCTGTGCAAATGCCTCCTTTACCCTATTGGCCTCTGAATCCCTGTTCTTGGGCACCACAACTCCCTCTCATTTCTGGCCTGGATGCCTCCCATGTTCTGCCCTACTGATGGTTTTAGAATGAATTGTTCAGTACGGAAAGGAAAAGGCAGTTTTTCTTTTTTGTTTTGAGACTCATACATGTTGATGTGTGTAGCTGAAGCTCATTCATTTTCATTACTGTACTATAAACAAATACATGAAAATGATTATCCATTCTTTTTGGTAATGGTCCAAGTTTATATTTGTTTATATCAGTGTTTGTATCAATCAGTATTGCTGAGTAAACAAATAGTCACAAAAATCTCATGGCACAGAATAAGTATTTCTCATGTGTCAGCTGGTATGGCTTTGCTGATCTCAGCTGAGTTCATTCATACATCTATAGGTCATCTAGGGGGATTCTGATTTAAGCTGCAAGTCTGTGAGTCTAGGTCTACCTTCTTGAATCAGCACAACTACCTGGACATGTTGACGTAGCAGGAGGTCTGGTCCCACTAAGGAAGTATTTACTTATATCACTAACATCCCGTTGGCCAGAACAAGTCATATATCTGTTCTGTTTATCTCACTATTTGTGGAAAAGACCGCTCTTTTCCAACCTAGTTGCTATGGCATCTTTTTGTAAATCAAATGATCTTTTCTGGATTCTCCATTCTGTTTGATTGGCCTATTTATCTTTCCTTTTGCCAACTCCACACTCTTTTATTTATTGTTACTTTATAATAAATTAAGTTACTGCTTCCCCCTACCACGCCCCCCCATTATTTTATCAGCTACGTAGACAGTTGTACTTAAATCTCCAGCTATGATTGTGGGTTTGTCTGTTTCTCCTTCCTTTCTTTCAACATTTATTTTATATATGTTTAACCTGTATAATTAGGTCCATACAGAGATTAAACTGTGGGGTTTTTAATTCTGAAAATACTTTTTTAGCATTAAGAAATGTCCCTTTTAATCCCTGGTAATTTTGTGTTGAAATTTACTTTGCCTAATAATAATACAGTCACAACAGCCTCCTTAGGATTAGTGCTTACATAGTACATCTTTCTCCGTCCTTTTAGTTTCAGCTTATCTGTATATTTATCTGTGTCTATACTTAAAGGTGTTTCTTGTAAATAGTTATTTGAGGATAGTTTTTATATCTAGGCTAACAATTTTTTTGTTTCCTGTTTTGTGTTTTTGTTTTTATCTACCACCTACTGGGTGTTTTCTATGTGTTTGGCCCTCTTCAAGTCATTTCATTCTATTACTTCTAAGTGTCCAAACCACCCTAGACAGCTAGAATCAGAGAACTGATTATCATGAGAATAGAGGTATAATGGTGCCTTGGAATGTTCTTCTGTGACCTAAGTTCCTTTCAAATGAAAGGAGGCCATTTTTTTTTTTAAATCAAGCCTTTTGGGAGTAATAAAATAATAAAATAATCTCAGCTTCTTTGTCTAGAAAACTACGTCAGATATTTTCAATAAAGGTAGTCACCTAGATTCCCCCCACACATACCCCATGACTGAAGCATTTAAAACACTTGGGCTGGCAGGATTTATTAAGTGATGATCTGTCAGGCTTTGTTTTTATTTTGCTTTGTATTTATTTATTTTTTGTGTGTGCTTGGTATTTTTTTAAATTAAAGTACAGTTGAAACACAAATATATTTGTCACAAGTATACAACACAGTGATTCAATAGCTACACACATTGAATCTTTACCCCAACTAGTGCGGTTACTGTCAACATAGGAAGATGTTACAGAACCATTGACTATATTCTCCATGATGTACTTCCATCCCCATCACCAACTTATATTGTGATTGAGATTTTGTGCCTCTTTATCCACTCCCCCATGGTAACCACCATTCACTTCTTAATGTCTGTGACTGCTGCTGTTTTGTTCATTTTGTTTTCTTTTGTTCTGTTTTTGATCTTGAGAATCATGGTGGCAGCTACACCTAAGATATTTAATAGTAATTCTTTACCATCATCAGGGGTTGTCCTTGGAAAGATAGCCCAAATGATCAGTTCTGTCATACTCTGACTATTCTATCTATTAATCATAGCCATATGTCTTCACAAGTTACTACCTTACATTACCTAATTCAGGTTTCCATATTATTAGCAGTTTATGCTATTTTACAGGATAAGCCACATCAAAGACTTCATCGAAAAATACCAAGGATCTCAAAGAAGTCCTCCCTTTTCCCTGGCAACAGCTCTTCCTTTTCTCAGATTGCTAGATGAAACACTCACGTTGGAAGAAGCAGATTTACAGAACGCTGTGATCATTCAAAGACTTCAAAGAAATGCTGGACCTTTTAGAGAATTTTCATAAACATTGATTTCTGATGCACTAAGTAGAGAGCTTGCAAAGAAATAAATGCTGGATGTAAGTGGAAATTCGAGCCCAAATGGGAGAAAAGAAAAGTCAGGTTCATTGGACTTTTTCTTGGAGTATTAATTTAACTCTCTACTTGATGCAAAGATTCTTAGATAAGTACAAGTTAAGAAAGTATGACTGGAAAGTATATTGAAAGCACTCTTTCCAAAAAGCTACTCATAAAGAGAAACATACGTAATTTCAAATACCAGTAATTCAACATAAGACATGTTTAATAGCTATGTCATTTAGAATCTTAACATGGTATAAATTAGCAAATGTGTTCACAGCATCATTCCCAGACAGCAGTGATTTATTTAAATGTTAGCTATCTAGGATTTTTAGATAGCAATACACACAAAAAATATATATACAACAGGTTATAAACATCAATATAATTATTTTTATACTTGAGATACAATCGAATGGCTGGAAGGGACTGCTTTCACCTTAGGCACATAGCTATGCCTAAACTTCAAAATGTTCTCAGTTTGCCTTCTCTAATGGCAAGATATACTCAATTATTCATTTGGCAACAGTATCTGAGATGTCTTTTTAAGAATAAAATGAAGGATAAAATTATTTAGCTTAGTATAATGTCAATATTGATGTGCCTACTCATATTTCTATATTTTTGAAAAGTGTAATTTTAAAAAAATTATTTTCTCTCCAGGAACCCTACTTCGTTCCCTATCTTACTGTCTTTTGCAAATTAGGGATTTGTTCTTCTTTGACATTTGGAGTAAGCTACTCATGTGCCACCACTCAGATTCTTATGCTTGTGTTGTCACATTGATAATTAATATTTTTAAATGTGTCATGTAAAGTATGGTTTTCTATTCAATGCGTCAGAGTCAACCCATGCATGTATTAAAGGATTATTTACATTCTGATGTACCCAAGGAAAACATGCTTTTTTTTAATTCATTTTATTATCATTAATCTACAATTACATGAAGAACATTATGGTTACTAGACTCCCCCCTTCACCAAGTCCCCCCCAACAAACCCCATTACAGTCACTGTCCATCAGCAACACATGCTTTTTATCTTAGACTTTTAACTAAAACCTATTAGACTTTAGTATTTCACTATCAGATTAAATCCCCTTTGCCTAAAAATAAGCTTTTTTTTTTAAGTAATCATATTTAAAGTAAAATACACATTGATTGTGCCAAAGAATTAAGTAGCCATGCCTATCAGCAGTAATGTTCATAGGCACTAGATGTCTTTTGGAAAGAGCAGTTCTCAATCTTTTTGGTCTCAAGATCTTTTATGTGGTTTGTATATATTATGTTAAAAGTTATAAATATTTATTCATTTAATAAACACTTGATAATATAAACATTTTTATGAAAAATGTCTATTTTGTAAAACAAAAAGATTGTGAGAAAAGTGGAGAATTGTGTTCCATTTTTTGCAAATGTCTTTACTGTCAATTAAAGAAGACAGATGGAGTCTTGTATCTGCCTGTACATTCAGTCTGTCTTGGTATCACACATGTAGCCTCACACATTTACCGTCAGATGGTAAATGCTACTGTATGCTCATGAGGAAATGAAAACAAAAAAGCAAATAACATCTTAGTATGATTATGAAAATAGTCTTAACTTTGTAAACCCCTTAAAAGAGCCATTCTTATAAAGTAGTGATTTGCAGTGATTTTCAAGCCCTAGTGTAAGAATTACTTGGGAGATTTCCAGAATGACTATTCTGGCCACATTTTGATTCAGTGTATCTGGGGTGGATCCCAGATCTCTGCATTTTTTATCTCAACTGATTCCTACGTATATAACCAGTCTTAATTAAGTAAATCGTGCAATAAGCTTCCACCCTAAGAAACTAAAAGTTGCATGCTTCACTATGGACAGTGGAAGGCTGTACACTGAAATGGACCCTTAATTTTTATCCTTGTATAAGGATATACAAGGATATAAATTTTATCCTTGTATAAGAGTTTGTTCTTAAGCTGCACCCCTTTAAGTCTGAATTATTTATGACATAAACCAGTATTATATCTTTAAGCACAGCTGAAGGCTGGAACCCTTAAATGAGGTTTTTATTAAAGACTCAGGAATAACAAAAGGAAATATATCACTAGATGATCTAGCTTATAAAAATCTTCTTTTGAGGTCTAGTTTAAGAATATTTTACGTGGTAGAAGGCCATCTTTTAATTACGAAAAGCAGGAAGACAGGAGAGCCTTATCCTTTTGTCATTTCTTCTCAAAAATGAACAGATATATATTAGAAAATATTTATTGTCAGTAATGTTTACAGCTATGATAGTCTAGTGAAACAAAATAGCATTCTTAAAAAAAATGGGATGATAAGATAAACTTTCAGATAATACAGTAACAACTAGTTGTTTCAAGAATCTAAGAAAATGTTTCTTAAAATTTAGGCCTTTCATGAAGCATTTTACAATTTTAATTTGCATATAGTCAATATGTGATTCTCCATATATTTCTATAAAGGGAACTCTCGTTGGAAATACTTTACTTTTACCTACAGAAACATCTCCTTTGTGGATTTTGCAGTTTATATTATGTAACCAGAAGACATATTGGAGGTTTTCTCATGTGTTCACTTAGAAAACACGCAGTAAGAAGTTCCTATAGAGAAGGACCTGTCATCAGCAATAACTTCATGTTTGTAGCTGTGAAAATGTTCATTAATGTGAATAATCTCAGAGGTTTTCTAATGGGAATCATCCAATAAAGCTTTTTACCTGAAAATTTAATAATTGTAAAGTGTGAAATACTTAAAATACGTTGACTTTAGAAAACATGGTTTTGGCAAGGGAAGGCAAACTTGAAAATAAGCTTCTTCGGTGGAATACAGTTTAACCCATGTAGTTGTTTTTATAACTCATCAATCAGTTGAAAGTCATTGTTAAGGCTGACAAACAGAAGGACAATTTTAATTTTGCAGATTCTAATTTAACGGTTAAATTACTATGCATTATCCAGGTAATAAAAGTGATCTTACTTCTTTTATGCACTTCTCTCATTCAGAGTAATTTTCATTATATTTCATTGTGATGAAATATGGTATGTATGCATCTATTTCAGTGCCTTAAAGTATTTTGAGAGCTTTTACTAATGGTTAACTGTTGTCTTAAGGATGAAATACTACTATTCATTGAAAGGATCTGTGAAAGAATTTATACTTGTTTGTTATAAAATATAGGATGCATTTGTCTTTTATTTGGCCAAGTCATTCAGTTTGAGAACCAACAAACATTAGGTGCCTTCTGTTTGCCAGGTACTGTTACCAATGTTACTGTCATTTAATATACAGAAGTGTTAAAATATGGTATTTTAATACTAATTCAATGGTTGTGATTATATTTTGACAATCCTTTGTGTCCTGAATTGAATTAACATAAAGACTGTTTGGTAGGGTTTGCTCTCTGTTCTTTCAAAGTACAAACCATTTAATTAAAAAATTGTTCATTATATATTGAATAAAACTGGCTTATTTGGGAGACTAGTATTTGGCTCTTTGTCATTTGCTTTTTTTTTTTTTTTCACAGATAATTCATATTGCAGAAAAATTTTTTAATGCAGATAGGCTAAAATGATGTATTAGTTACCTGTTATCCCACCATTGAGACATAACCACTAATACCATTTTGGTGTTCATCCTTTCAGATAATTCTAAGTGTATCAGTCTTTAGAAGTTGGGCTTCCTGATTATTATAATCCTGTTATCAAAATATAACAATCTTTAAGTTAAAAGTTGCATTAGGATCACACTGTCACTTTTCAGGAGGATAATTGTTTGGAACAAATGCCTTTTAATTTATATGCAAAAAAAGATGGAATTTTTTCCCTCCACTTTCCTTTCAAAATTAAAATTATCAAAACAAAGTACAAATATTAGGAAGTATTTCCAAACATGCAAAAATGCATATAAAGTGATGTGTTTAATAGTAAATTATCCAAAGAAACTTCAGCTTGAGTTTATATTTAGTTTCCAAGGAATTAAATATTTAGCACAGGCTTTATCTAATTACCCTTTCACTGTTGATAGGGCTACATTCAAAGAAGGTCAAACTCATTTGGTAAACAATCGAAGCATTTTTCATGATTTATAAAAATGTTGAATCATTTATGTTGTACACCTGAAACTAATAAAATGTGTGTCAATTACATAATTTAAAAAATAAGGTATAGAAAATGTGATGACTTGCCTTAGACTAGGTAGTGTATAATTTAGTATATTTAGTTGTGATAGAAAATCCAAAACAATAGTCACTTACTAATAAAATTTATTTCTCCTGCAAAAGTTTGGAGGGAATCAGTTCAGGGCTGGTAGACCAACAATGAAGTAAGACTCCCATATTGTTAATATGCCACTCAGCATGCATTAACTAGGGTCTCTAATAGCTGTAGTACCACCAGTCATGTTTGCATTTCATCCAGTAGGAAGCAGCATACCTTTCCCTTTTTCAAAACAGCTTTATTGAGATGTAATTGACATAACTTGCAACTCACCCATTTAAAGAGTGCAATTCAGTTTTTAGTATATTCACAGGATTGTGCAACCATCAGCATAATCTAATTTTAGAACATTTTCATCCCCTCTAAAACCCCAGGCATTTCTCCACCCTCAAATATACATTGTTTTATTTCATACATTCTGGACATTTCATATAAATGGAATCGTACAACAGGTGGTCTTTTGTGCCTGGTGTCTTCACTTAATTGTTTTTCAAGGTTCATCAATGTTCTTTTTATTGTCAAAAGTTCGTTGTATGAATATAACTACCAGGTTTTTATCAGTCAGCATTTGGGTTGTTTCCAGTTTTTAGCTAGTATAAACGTTGCTTCAAACACTTGTCTTCAGGTTTTTGTTTGAATATGGTTTCATTTCTTTAGGGTATATATTTAAGGGGTGGAATTGCTGGGTCATATGCTAATTCCATGTTTAAGTTTTGAGGAACTGCCAAAGTCTTCCAAAGTGCCTGCACCATTTTACTTGACCTCCAGCAATATATGATTTCTCCACATCTTCCCAGCGCTGGTTATTGTCTGCTTAATTATAGCCATTCTGATGGAATGGTTATCGTGTGGTTTGTAATGGCACGAGTATCTTTTCACGTGCTTATTGCCCATTTGTCTATCTTTGGAGAAACAGCTATTGAAATCTTTTGCCCATTTTTCAGTCGAGTTATTTGTCCTTTTAGTATTGTTAAGTTTGTAAGTATTCTCTGTATATTCCAATATTAGCCCTAATGGTTTGCAAAGATTTATCCTATTCTGTGAGCCCTTCACTTGTGGGATGATTTACAGCAAAGTTTTCATTTAGGTACAGTCCAACTTACGCTTGTGATGCCCTAAGAAACAATTGTCTAACCCAAGATAATGAAGATCTAGTCCTGATTTCTTTGAAGACTTTTATAGTTTCAGCCATTCGACTTGGGTCTATGATTTTCAGTTAATTTTTGTATACGATGTGACCCTTCCCTTTTAAGGACCTTTCCGGGAAATTGTCATACACCACTCTGCTGTCATTCACCAGCCAGAACTTAAGGCCACTCTCAACATCTGGAAACCATGGAAAGTGTGTTCTGGGCATTCGACATCAAATTTATTAGTTTGTAAACCTATTCAGCCACAATCTAGTCTAAAGAAATCAATTCTATTGCTTCGTTTTTCAAATTTTTGCCAAATTTTACCCAGGAGTGTTTAGCAGGACGGTTTCGGGCGACCGCCACTGGCGCTCCCTCAGGGAACCGCCGCAAGAAAACGCGCCCCGGGGGCTTACCAGCCCTTCCCCCGCAGCCGATTTGGTCCCTTGGCATTTTCCCTTCGTGGCCTCCCGCTTTCCCGCGCGGGGCCAGAACCCGGGCGCCCCGGCCAGCCCGCCCCGCGCCGCGCCCCCTCGGCCCAGAGCCGCCCTCCCCGCGGGCAGCCGGGCGCCGGCAGGGCGATAACGCCGCAGGGCCCCGGCCGCCGTCGGACTGCTGGGCGCCATGGGGGAGCCTCCCGGAGGGACACCGGCCCCTGCGGCTGAGGCGCCGCCGCGCCAGCCCGAAGCGCCCACGTCGGAGCCCGGCTCGGTGAGCGCAAAGCGGGGGGCCGCAGGAGGGCCGCGGCGGAGCAAGGCGGGCGGGAGGGGCGCGGGCCGCCCGGAGGCCGGAGGGGCCCCGGGGGTCTTGGCTGCGTCTGGCCGCGGCCCTTTGACCAGCCAGGGCGGCCGTGCGGGGGCGGCGCCCCAGCCTTCAGGCTTTTGAACGGTTTGGCCGTTGAGAGCCAGAGGCTGGGGCTCTTCGGGAGCCCCGAAGAGAAGAGGACGGGGAACAGCCCTGCACGTGCTGGGCTCCTTCAGCCGGGCAGGCCAGGGCCGGCCGCGGGGCCCCGGGGCCCAGCCTAGGGCGCCCATCCACCGCACTCCAGGTCTCCCCCGGGGCCCGCTGCCCGGCAGGAAGGGCTTTCCGTTGGGCGTGAGGAGGCTGCCTCCCTTTCACCACCATCGCAAACCCTGGTGCCACCCAGGCACCGCGCTCCCTTCCGGAGACCCGCAGGAGATGACCTCCCTGGAACCTCCCTGGTACCCAGGATCCGGAGTGCGGGCAGCTGGGGACCCAGGGCGTCCTCGGGGCCTCCGCATCCCCTGCGTGGATGGGACTGGGGCGCATGCCGGCGAGGGAGGCAGTGTTGGAAGTTAGGACCTCTGAGCTGTATGCGGAAGGCAAAAACAATCCATCGCTTCTCCGTGCCCAACGCCTGTCTGTGGCTTCCCTGCACCACCACCTCGGCCCCTGTGTTGTCCCAGTGCGTCCATTCAGGCACCTCAGAGCCAAGGGTCGCGGCCCCCAAGAAAGTGAGATGAGGAGGTCCTCTGGGGACTCTCATTTGCCAGAGAAATTTAGAAATTCAGGGTGAGAATAATGACAAGTGTGAAATTCATTGCCAATGAAGTGCCAGCATTTAATTCTCAAAACTCTCTGAGATGTATTTTTACCCTGTTTTACATTTGAGGAAACTGAAGCTCAGCCACTTAAGTGCCTTGCCCTGAGTCACACTGCTAGAAAGAGCTGACACAGAATTTGAACCCAAGTTTGTCTAACTCCAAAACTTGTACTTGGTCATATGTGAAAGGCTTATGATTTAAGTAGGTAAAACTGTCATCCTCCAAATTCCAATGTGATCACCTGGTTTCAGCTGGAATTTCTGTTTTTGTCTTTCAAGTGCCTTCTATGTGCCAGAAACTTGTCAGGCATGTCGTAATATTGTGGGTGGGTAGGGGGACTATCTTGTTCGATTCTGCATGTTGCTAAGGTTTTCTGGAAGTTGAAATAATGTTCACAAAAATGTCAGAAACGGAGAGCACACATCCTGCCTCATGTGTTGTTTTCTTCTGTGAGTAGGAAGAGTGTGCAAAGGATATGATAAACCCTTATCTAGGAAGACCTTCCTTTCAAGAGAACCCATTTGGGTGTCCTGCAAGATATCAAAATGGGTGAAGCCACAACCCTTTCCACTACCCCTTTCCACTCCCCAAAGGATGAAAAAGGATTCCTTAGCACTTGAATAGCCCTTTACACATCTTCATGGTACTTATTCCTTCAACAAATAATATATGTAGTATCTACCATAGGTCAAGCATTGTTGTAGATTTTGGGTATATGATGGTGAATAAAAGTTAAAAGTTATAGTTCATGCTCTCAGAGTTTATATCTGGTGGGAAGAGGCAGGAAATAAATAACAATACATCAGGTAGTAAGCACAATTAAGAGAGTGACTTGGGTGGTCTGCGAAGGGCTCTCTAAGGAGCTGGTATTTAGGTACCTGAATGGTAAGGAGTCAACCCTGCAGAGACCTGAAGGAAGAGCCTTCCAGATAGAACAGAAAATGCAAAGGACCTGAGGCAGCAATAGGCAGGGTCATTTTGAGGAATAGCAAAGAGGCTCCCATGATTAAGGAGAGCTATCTGAATTGAGGTGGGAAAGGAGTGGACATTGACTGGGTGAGCTCCTATAGGCTGTACGGGAATGCCTTGGAGTTTTATTCAAACCTATGGTAAGCTTTTGGAGGGTTTTAGAGACAAGACCCAATGTGACTTATGCTATGAAAAGATCACTTTGGCTGCTGGATGGAGAGTGGATAGTAGGGAACAAGAGCAGAAGCGGGGAAGCCACTTAGGAGGCTTTCACTGATAGATGAACAGGGGAATTGGGAAAGACGAATCAAGGATGACTAGGTTTGTGGGCTGGGCTGCTGAGTGAACGCTGGGGCCCTTTAACGCAGTGAGGGACAACAGGGTTAGGAGTTGATATACAGTGAGATGGAAATCAGGAGCTGTGTTTTGACCATGCTAAGCTGAGATGCCTGTTAGGCAACCATGTGAAGCTGGAGTAGGCAGTTGAATATCGGAGTCTGGAGTTTGCTGGATACTTGAGGCTTGTGAGATATATATACATACATACACACACACATGCATACATACACATACACATTCAGGGTCATAAACATGACTTCATTTCAGTAGTGGGCTGGTTAACAGTGTCTCTGGGAAAGAAGAAGAAAAAAAGCTTTTGTCTGTAGTGCTTGCTGATTTCTGTCATGTAAATACTCTCACCAAGGCTGATTTCAGGCCTCCAGCCGTTCAACAACCACTTGCAAAGGTCCTGAACGCTGAACTATCAGCCCCTAGTGCCACTACCTCATTTGTTCATCAAAACAACCCTTGAAGTTGGCAGGAATATTCCATTTGACAGATGGGGCTTAGAGAAAGTGATTTACTCAAGGGCACACAGGGAGTTGGTGGCAAAGTTGGGGGTCGCCTGAGCCCCACTTTACTCCAGCTTGCGGATTCAAAATAAAGCAATGCAGCAAGAAGCTCTCAGGGGGAACTATAAGGAAGAATATGCCCCTGGAAATGTGTAGAGGTCATGGTTTAGGATTTTTTTGTTTGTTTCACTTCCTTTTAATATGATGGAGACAGTTTAGGACTGAGGAGTTGCTGGGAAAGCCTTCAAGACCTAGAGACATCAGGATGCTACTAGAAGTCAGCGGGTGTGGAGAGCTTTGGTGTGTCTGGGGCTGAGGGCTTAGCTCCTGTGTCTCACCCAGGACAGCAGACCGGGTCGCCTCTCATTTTGTACAAAGCTGTGCTATGGCATTGGCGGCGTCCCCAACCAGGTGGCCTCCAGCGCCACAGCCTTTTACCTGCAACTCTTCCTGCTTGATGTGGCACAGGTGAGTGTGGGCAGCAGCCCAGAGCCCCCTGTTTCCATCTTCCTTCCTTGGTGTCTGGTGTTTCTACCACAGCCTCCCCCACCTGGCACTTCTGACCCAAGCCTGCGACTGAGAGAACTTTCTCAAGGAAGTTTACCGCAAGCTGTTTGCAGTGGGAAAATGGGAAACAGCGTCAATGTCCAACAGTACAGAATCAATTGGATAAGAAGTTGTGCTATACTCACATGGACTACTGTTATTCCATAGAAAAGTTATTCAAAAGAATGAGTTCACTCAGAGGGATCTTCATGATGCAGACAAGTGAGAAAAGTTAGTTTTAGTGTACAAAATGATCCTATTTTAGCAAAACAAAGACATGCCCCATATATGTGGGTGCATGGGACTATATATGTATTTAACACATACATGATTAAAATATGAGTAGAGAGAAAATAAATTACAGGAGGATATATACCAGGCTGTTAATGTTGGCTAATGGAGGGAATGCTAGAGGACAGAGGGTAAGCAAAACAAATTTTTTGATAGGGTTTTCATGATTTTTTTTAATGACACTGATATGATCCCCTTTATATAAAATTATAAATTACAAATGCACATAAAGAAATGTATAAAGGATGATTATCAAAATGCTGCTGGCAGTTGTTTCAGGATGGTGGCATTTCAGATAAGCTTTGCTCAGTATTTTTCTGTACAGTTTGAATGTTTTAATCATGAGTGTATCATTTATGTAATCAGTAAAATATTTTCATTGTGAAACAAAGTCTACCTCTGGCTGTCAGCCTTGCTGCCCCCTTCTGCCCTGAGCCAGCCCAGATGAGGGTCCCTCAGGTCTTCCCCACAAGTGACTGGGCATGAGCAGTGATGGGACTGTGACAGTGCACAATGTGCATTCCCTCCCGTCCCTTTCTTCACTAGTGCAGATGTGTCCCTAGATCCTTCTGGATTCCTGTCCTGGGGAAGAGACTGAATAGCACTTTACACTGTGGCCCTGGTCCCAGCCGGGTTCCCAAATCTTCCTGGTGGATGAGCAGGTGCCACACCCTCTCTGACCGCCAGGCCCTGGCTGTCCCCTCCTCTGTCTCCTTCAGATCCCTGCTGCCCAGGTGTCATTTGTCCTGTTTGGAGGGAAAGTGTCTGGGGCAGCTGCCGACCCTGTCGCTGGGTTCCTCATCAACCGAAGCAGGAGGGCAAGGTCTGGACGACTCATGCCCTGGTGAGCAGCCCCATGGTCCTTAGGCTCTTGGCCCCCACTCCTGGCCTGAGGTCACTGTGCTTGTCGCAGTGCTGCTCCTTAGTCGAAACCCCTGTGGATGGTTAGAGGACAAGACTAGACAGCAGGTTACAGGATGGAACTGGGTCAGACTGAGTCATGCAGGAGTTTAAAGACATTCCTGGGACTCCCACTCACTGGGTAGTACAGGGCTGGAGCGAGCCTCCAAGACGTCCAGGCCCCGTCTGGGGGTCTAGGAGTGGTCAGGGTGGGCTGTATGCCTTGGAAGACCTCACAGAGGAGCTGAGACTTGCTTGTGCTCCAGGGGCCTGGATACAGGGCCTGGCACCACCAAGCACCCTGGTACACTGGCCAGGGCCTGAGTGAATGGCCCCCATCCAGGCTCCCTCCACCTCTCATAAGCTACCTCTCCCCCCATGGCTCCCACCCTGACAGCCCCAGCCCAGGGCTTCTCCAGGGCCAGGGGGCTTATGCCCAGAAGGGCCAGGTTGCTCAGGCCTGCCGTTTGTCACCCCCATGTCCTGGTGCTGCTGGCACTCTGCCTTAGCTGTGTTTCCATAGGGTGCTGGGCTGCACGCCCTTCATCGCCTTGGCCTACTTCTTCCTGTGGTTCCTACCACCCTTCACCAGCCTGCGGGGCCTCTGGTACGCGGCTTTCTACTGCCTGTTCCAGGGCCTGGCCACGGTAAGCAGGCGGCCCACCTTCTAGGGCGTGTCCTCCCAGAACCCCATTGCCGGCTGCTGGCCACTCTGAAGCGTGTGTGGCAGCTGTAGGTGACTGTGAGGGACCCACTGCCTGCACCTGCTCGCCAGTGCCTGGAAATGACCAGTAGCTCCTCTGGCAGCTGAGGTTCCAGGAGGGGCGCCCCTCCTGCCCCTCAGCCCGGGACCTGGGCCTGTGGGAACCCCAGCCTCGGGAAGTCCAGGCGGCCATCCTCAGCTCCGCCGGCGCCCCAGTTCTTCCAGGTGCCTTACGCAGCGCTCACCATGCTCCTGACCGCCAGCCCGAGGGAGCGGGACTCGGCCACCGCCTACCGTGAGTGCGGCGGGTGGGGCTGCGGCGCGGCCCTGCGACCCCGGCGGGCCGCGAGGTCACCGGGAGCCCCTTCTTCCCAGGGATGACCATGGAGATGGCGGGGACGCTGGTGGGAGCCGCGGTCCACGGGCTCATCGTGTCCGGCGCCCACGGGGCCCACAGGTGCGAGGACGCCGCGCTGCCCGGGCCGGTCGCCGTGTCCCCCGACGCGGTGAGCACTCACGGCCCCGTCGGGGCCCCTCTGCCCGGGCGCCCCTCTCCTCTGGCGCCGCGCCTCCCCGGGTCTCCTCGCGCCGTTTGGGGCTCAGCTCTGCGCACCGCGCCGCGCCCCTCGTTCAGTCCCTGCTCCTCCCACTGAACGGGACGCCCCGCCCTCCCGCCACCCCTGCTTCTCTGCCCGGCGCCTTCTAGACGCAGATCGGCAGGCCGCGTGGCGCGGGGAGGGAGCAGCCAGCCGCAGGGCGCGCGGGCCTCGTAGGGATCCTGGTGAGGCCCCGCCTGGGGACCCGTCCCACTCCAGCCCCGGGATGAAAGGGGAAGGGAGACCCCGGGACCGCACCCCGTCCACTCCTCTCAAAGCAGGACCCTCTTCAGCCAGTATGGGACACACATCTATTTTATCCATCAAGTTCATCTTCGGTTTTTCCCTCTTTCCCTTAAGCAAATGACACCACTACCTCCGAACCCTAGGAGTCGCCTTTTACTCCTCCCTTTCCCCCAACCCTCTGCTCCAGTCTTTTACCAAATTCTGTCCGTGTTTTAGACTCCTTATTATGGATGGACAGGGGCTACTTATTCATCACTGTAAACCTCAGGATCTAGCATGCAGAAGTCTGCAGCAGTGAATATCTGCTTTAAAAAGGAGACAGAGAGCGGAAGGACTCAGCCCCTGGGGGCATGGCTGCCCTCCTGTCCATGCGAGAGGCACAGGGCCAGCAGGAGGTCCCCTGTGGGTCCTTGATCTCCCTCTCCTGGTTGGGTAATTGGAGGAGGGACAGCCAGCATCCTCGGGCCTGGCCTGAGGGTCCCTCCGCTCCCACTGGGAGACATTCCTGTCCCAGACCTGGTGTCCGCGCCTCCATGGGTTGCAGACACCATCCCACCTCAGGTCTGTCCTGTCCCACAGACTCGCCTCTACTCCATTGCAGCCGCTGTGGTTGCTGTGACTTACCCCGCGTGTAGCTGTTTGCTCCGCCTGGGGGTGAAGGAGCGACCAGGTACGGGGTACAGTCAGAGTGTGGGAAGCAGAAGCTGGGGACAGGGCTCTTTTTGGGCATGGATGTTGCTTTTGAACTCTGCTAAGTCAAAGTGTCACCTTCCTGTTTTGTAGACCCCTCCACCCCAGTCTCAGGCCAGGGCCTGAGCTTCCTGGCTGGGCTGAGCCTCACTGCCCGACACCCACCCTACCTAAAGTTGGTGATCTCCTTCCTTTTCATCTCAGCAGCCATTCAGGTACCTCTGGCAGCCGATCCCCACTGCATTGGCTCTAGGCATGTGGACCCTGTGTAGGTTCAGGTTCAATCTCAAGGCCCCACCAACCAGTTAGGCGTTCGTAGGGAGAAGCCATGACCAACACACAGCCAGCCCGGAGAGGCTGGGAGGAGAGATACCTGGATAGAGCTTGTGGGCCTGGGGAGGGTCAGGGCCCAGACGCTAGGAAGGAGAGTGTCTGGACGGGAAGGTCCACCGATCTCAGCTGTGCCAGGGGGAGGGTGGACTGGGAACGGTGTTTATACCTGTGACAGGGATAAGCACCCTCTGTGGGGGAGGGGGGCGGCTGCGTGATGGTGAGAACAACCAGAGCTGAAGGACCCAAAGCCAAGGCCAGCCTTGCACCCCAGGCTGTGCCATTAACTCCCTAGTTCCTGCCGTTCCCTGTGCACACCCACTTCTGTCGGCCTCCTAGGTGGAGCAGAGCTACCTGGTCCTGTTCTGTACACATGCCTCCCGACTACACGATCATGTCCAGAGCCTGGTGCTTACCATCCTGGTGAGGGGGCCTGGGGCGGCAGAGGCAAGGTCACTCAGGGGCCTGAGCTGGGGACAGGTGTGGTCCTTGACCTGATATGTGCCCAGAATTCTGGTGACCACCATTCTGGACTCTGCTTTGGTCTTAGTTACCTGTTTTCCAGTAGACCAATGGGGCCTGGGTCCTAAAGTTCATAGCCCCTGGTTCCAACCAAGGGCCAAGGTTAAGCATCCCACTTAAAAGCCAGAGCTTTGGGAGCCTGGAGCCCGGGCTGTGATCACTCTGTCTGCTCACAGGTCTCTGCTGTGCTGAGTACTCCGCTGTGGGAGTGGGTCCTGCATCGATTTGGGAAGAGGACATCAGCTTTTGGGATCTTTGTGAGTGAGGCAGGAACAAGGTCTGGGGTGGCTGTGGGCAGAGGGTGGGGGGGGCAGGAGGTGCCCTTGGAGCTTGAGCCTCCTGGGGTTGGCTGGGCTGGATCTGTATTTGCCTGTATGTTCGGGGCTCAGCAGGCATGGAGGGCGTGGGTGGGTGTGGGAAGGAAAGAGCAAGTTAGGCTGCGGGTGCAGGAGGAGGGGTCAGCTCGTGTGTCTGCCTCCCCAGGTGATGGTGCCTTTCGTGATCCTGTTGGCTGTTGTGCCCACAGCACCTGTGGCATATGTTGTGGCCTTTGTATCTGGCATGAGCATTGCTGTGTCCTTGCTGCTGCCCTGGTAGGAGCGGTGAGGGGCAGGGGGTGTGGGGGCTTCACGTCCCTCCTAATGGGCATACCGTCTTTCACATCTATCTGTTGTCCTACGTACCCCATGCCCAGCCTGTGCCTCCATCAACTCCATCCTTGGAGCCCTCCTAAAAGAACAGGTGGCAGGAATGGTGGGCAGCCATGTAGGGGGAATACAGGCACACATACTTCCTGGCCCTGGGCAGCACGGACCCAGGGAAGACTCTGACTTGGTCTCTGTCCCCAGAGAGCTCAGGGAGCTGGTGGCTGTCAGGGAATAAAAGGGATAATTCTGCAGCCCCACCCCCCCACCAGGTCCATGCTTCCAGATGTGGTAGATGAGTTCCAGCTGCATCACCAGCATGGCCCAGGCCTGGAGACCATCTTCTACTCCTCCTATGTCTTCTTCACCAAGCTTTCAGGAGCAGGAGCCCTGGGCATCTCCACTCTCAGTCTGGAGTGAGTCCCAGAGCCGGGCTGTAGTCCTCCTATGTCTTCTTGACATGAAAGACTAGAGGGTGGGAAGAAGAGGCAGAGTCCCCCACCCCCAGCCCCCATGGCCAGCCAGGGACCACCCTGAGTCGGAGGCCCGAGCTCTGCTCTAGACAGAGCACAGGGGAATGACCTGTGCACATGACTGACGGGGCCTTTCTTGGGGGCCATGCCCCTTCTAAGCCCCAGCTCCCCACATTCTCAGTTCTCTTTGCACTCCTCCCTGGCCAGCCCATTCTCTTAACACCCCCTTCCACCATGGTTAGGCTGATTTGGCCAGATAATGAACCCAAGTTTCCGGATAGTGTCGGGGTGGGATGTCTGAGACCCCTCTGTCAGAAAACTGGGCGTGGTAGGATCTTAGCTGGATGCATGGGATGGTGTTTCTCTAGGTTTGCAGGGTATGAGGCAGGAGCCTGCAAGCAAGCCGAGCAGGTGGTAGTGACCCTCAAGGTCCTCATCGGTGCTGTGCCCACCTGCATGATCCTCACCGGTCTGTGCATCCTCATGGTCAGCCCCACCCCGAAGGTGCCAAGTCAGGACACCTCCCGCCAGCTGAGCCTTCGGAGGTGGGCACCCTGTGTGCTGGGGTGGGATTGGCTAGCCAGTCCACAGGTCTCCCTGAGGGATTTACACTGCTGACCAGTGCTGCCTTTGTAGACTCTTTCCTTGGCTTCAGTGATGCCATCTCTTCCTGGATTTTCTTCTACTATTATGGTCAGCCCTGCTGGTCTTCCTTGCTTACCTGTGGATGGCGGTGTGGGAGGGCTCCCTCTTTGACCCTTGTTCCTTTTGCTCTCCATAACCTCAGGTGCCTTGTCTACTTGCTTGACCTCAAGCACCTCCTATGTCCAGTGATGCCTAAAGTTGCCCCTTCCTGCTGGACTTCCTTCAAGTTCCAGATCCACAGGTTCAGCTTTCATTTGGACATCTCCTGATGTCCCACAAGCATGGCAGTCAGTCTCAATGAGCCCCAAAGGGAACTCATCTCCTTCCCCCAATAGGCTCCTCCTCCTGTGTCCCCATCCCCATGGTGCCTCCTCCAGCCTGGGAGCTGAAACGTGGGAGTCATCTTCCACTCTTGCCCACACAGCTTCACTGAGCAGCTCCTTGAACTTGGTCCTTCCCCCTTCCAGAGCATCAATCTTACTGTATGGGGACAGTCTGCTCATTGTCTGGCTTTCTGAGTATACTGTAGGGACCTTGAAGACTGGGGCTGCATCTCATTCATTTTTGTGTCCCAAGAGCCAAGTAGAGTCTGAGACCAAGTAGGTGCTGCAGTGTCAACACGTCTGGCCCAGCACACTTTTGCAAGCACGCATCCGTGTTTTTGCAGATGCTCACACATTAGAAATCCAAGCACATGTACATACAAAGGGCTACACAGGATAAGCAGGAAGTGGCGTTATCGGTCCCTCACTGCTCAGGGTGGATGGCCTTAGACTCCAGCTGAGTGACATGGAGACCATGGGTTACACTCAGAATGACATGCGAATGGGAAATTGCTTGATGGGGCTTGGAGAACCGGTTGTAGCTTTATTCACAGGGGTTGTGAAGGGCAGAAGTTGCTAAGAAGACAAGGAACAAACACTGAAATTTCCATAGGGTTCTCAGTCAGAACAGAGACCCCCTCCACCTCAACCTTCTCTTTGGCTTTCCCTTTCTACAGGAGGACCAGCTACAGCATGGCTTGACATTTGGGACTTGTGGGAGCTGGACCCACAGGAGCCAGCATCTTCTGGGCTCGAAGTCCTTCTTTTCCTCTGCCCTTCAGCACCCCTGCTTCACTGTATACACATGGTGTCTTTTCCCCTGGGATGTGGAGTCTTCAGTGACATTTCCTGAAGGGACTGGCCTGGGCTCTAGGACCCCCACCTGTCATGTCTTGCCTGTTGACCACAGACCATCTCAGATAGGTCTGTGTCCCTGGCTACCCAGCTCCTGGGAAACTTTTGACCTGGAAAGCATCCCAATACCAACTACTCCTGAAAAAAGGAAGCCCCTACCAGCCTGGCCTGGAGACTCCCTGTGGGAATACCTGGCCCAACGAACTGCTCATCTGACAGGACAGACACAGACCTCCTGTTCCTCCTGGTGCCCCAGCGGGCATCTGCAACAGAGGCTGATAAAAGCGGGCTGAGTGGGGACAGACGGACATGCTGGAGATGTCCAGTTAGGAGAGACACAGACCCGAGAGGGAGTGACTGGGGACAGCATCAGAATGACAAGACTGAGCAGGGTATGAGAGGCGTCTCTCAAGCATTCCCCTTGTTCAGATAAACTGATGACACTGTTTCTGGAACTGGACACTAAAAATCAATCATTTTTATGAACAGAAGTTATTTTTATGCAAATATTTTTCTGAAACTTTATCTTCTAAAGCACAGGAATCAGTTTTCTAGAACTGGGGAAGAAAGATCCTGAGGTTTAATTTTTCAAAGCAAATTAAAGGATTTATCTTCTATTGTGTAAAATGTGACTGTGGCCAGCCTCTCATCCTACCTCCTGGGAACCCCCGACCTTGAGAAGGGAGGGGGAGGGTGCCTGGTGTCACTGAACCAGGCTATGTCCCCCCAGCCACATACCCGATTCTCCATTTCTTCAGAACAGAAATGCCATGTAGGAGGTGGGTTCCTTCTGTTTTGCAAGAGGCACAAAATGGAAACTCTAGAGTGGACCAGGGCAGTAAGCCATGTGGCTCATGTAGGTTGGGGGCTGCAGAGGTGCTGGGGAACCCTTCGGGGTCCTAATGCCACAGAACCTTCTCCTAGAGAAGCCTGGTCACCTAAAGGGGGAACCAGGAGGTACACACTTGTCCCCTGCATTTCTCCCCAAACTCAGCTCTGTCCCCTCCATGGGGTCAGGTCTCTTGAGCCCACTGCCTAAGGTTATGCCCCCCTTCTACTTCTTTACACCTCTGGTGGGAGACTCACACTAAGGCTGCGAGGGCTCAGATATACAATTAGATAGGACATGATCTTCACAGCTTAAAGCATCTTGTGTCCTCTACAAACACTGTAGTGGGAGAAGGAATCTGGCCTCAGAGTGAGTATGCCCAGTGTGACCTGGTCTAATGCCTGAATTCTCTGGCCCTTGTGACACTGACATGGGTGAGCCTTCAGATCACTGGGCACCAGAGAAAAGGCTGGATTCAGCTTCTCTTCATTGCTCATCTGATTCAGGAAGGAGCTGGTGGGAGCTCTGCTCACCCCCTGCTGTGCACAGGTCTACACACACAAGCAATCTCTTAACGCTAGAAAATCACCGCTGTGTGGAGACAGAAGGCAGGGCAGACTTGCTACCATGTTATCACATTATGCTGCACTTTGGAAACCTGGGGAGTGCAGGCAGGATTCTATGTTACCTGTATTCCACAGGAGCACAGTCTTGAGGAGCAGAGCTACACTGCAGAAAGCTGTGGGGGGCCACCCATGGGGGTCAAGGGTTGGATCTGAGGAGACTGGCATGGGCTGGCCAAAGAATATTACTCCATTTCTTCCTCATAGCAGCCCCATGAAGTTAGTGCTGTTATTCTAATTTTCAGATGAGAAACAGGCTTAGAGAGATTAATCAACTTGCTGAAGGTCATTTGGTGGTGGAAGTGTCCTGAACCCAAGTTGGCCTGAATCCAAGGCTTGTAAAGACAAACAGGGTTTCAGACACTGGCTGGAGGGGTGGCCACTGCTCAGACTTCAGCATCACCAGGACCACTCCCCCTCTGACACCAAATGCCAGCATGCCTGTTTCTGCCTACATGCCCCGATTCCACCAGAATTCCCATTATTCCTTTGTTCACATTTGCCCATGGAGCCTCCCCACATGTCCATGTCCTCCTTCTGACACCCACCCTCACTCAGAGCCTGTCATGTTTCACAGGGAGAGGTTCTCTCCTTGCAACCAAGGCCAATCCCTTCGCTGGCAGGGTAGGCATCTACCTGTTCCTCTCCACTTTTCATCTTCACTTAAATTCAGAAGATCATGACCCTGACTTGCTCAAGACCCTCTCAGTCCTACCGTGATCCCATCAACTCAGTTGCTATGAAGGCCTCAAGGCCTTATGAGGTCAGATGGCTGCTAAAACGTCACTTCCTCGGAGGCCTGTTCTGCTTCCTTGTTCATCCACAACCACCTCCCTCCACCCCCAGCACTCAGCTCTACCTGCCTTGCTTGTGCCTAGTGACACCTACCTCCACGGACAATTACGTACTTAGCAATAGCCGACTTCTTTATTGCTTGACATCCCCACTGAAATGTAAACTTCCTCGAGGTGGGGACTTTAACTTTTACCACTCTATCCTCTGTGCCCAGAAATAAATGTTCAACATGAATATGTCTGCTGAGTGAACAAGTGAATGTTCATTTCACCCTCATTCTAAACAGCCTTGCTCTGTTCCTTTAAGCTCTCCTCAACAAATAATCTGCTTTACTCTTCCCCTCCCACCCCCTGCCCACAGTTGTCTTTGACCTCACCAGCCTCTGCCTCCCCATTGAGAGGACAGCATGGCCTGGCAGGGTGAACTCCAGCATCAGAGAAAGGGAGATAGCAGTTCATTTGCTGCTTTCATCTTCCACATGTGTGATCAACTTATTTAACAAATCTGAGCCTCTGCTTCTACTTGGAAAGAACGTGTACACTGTTACCTACTGTCAGGATGGCTATGAGGATTAGGGGAGAAAATGCCAGACCAAGGAAACTCTCGACTGGTAGCCTTTAATGCTGACCACTCCTCTCCAAAACTATCCTCCTTGACTTGTATGTGACCACCCTCCCAGAAAATCATGGCCACGTGGAGACAGTACCTGGTAAGTCGCCTTCTCCATCATCTCTGACCATTCCCTTTCTGTCTTTTCCTTTGATGGTCCATAGGCATCTCTGGTTTCCCAGGACAGGGTGAACTCATTCAATATCACACCTATATACCACAATTTCTATCCCTGAGCCCTCTGCTGACTTTTGCTCTCCAGAGCTGAAGATCAAATGCCCATCTGTGTTCTGCAGACAGTTAGAACATCGTATGTCTGAAGGGGAACTCATCACCTTCTCTCCTAACTTGTTCTCCTCCATTTTCAGTAAATTATGTCAGTATCTTTCCAGTCACCAAAACCAAAAACTTGAGTCTTCTTAGATTCTTTTCTCCATTTACTCGACCACCTCCATCCCACATACACTGGGTGTGGACTAAGCAATGGAAAGAAAGGGTTGCAGCTGTGGGTTATTATCAAATTGCTGAAGTTATTTGAAATTGGGCAGAAAGTTGTTAACACTAGATATTGATGGGCATGGCTCTAGTGCATGTGGTGAACTGACTCAGCTGCTTCCTAGATGTTTGAGAGGTATATGCGTACCTGTGTATTTGTGTTTCCTATGGGATTCAGTTCAGCTGAGTAGTTTTCTGTGTCACCCAGTGTTTCTTAAGGACAAAACTGGTACATAAGCAACAGAAAGTCATGTCACACTCCAACTATTCCTTAATATAGCAATTGTGATGGAACAAATTTGTATTTTCAAAACAGGCATTTTAACAGAGTATGATTGTGTTTCACACACACACACACACACACGGTATAAACAACAGAAATCTTAAATGGTCCCTTAAATCTTAAAGGAATGAAATAAATATTTTAAAACATTCCCACAAGGGAAATATCAGATCCAAATGACAGAATCCAAGTTCTATCAAACTTTCAATCGAGGATCATTCCTATCTTATGAAAACTTTTCCAGGGAGTAGAAAAAGGGCATACATACTCTGCAATTCATTACATGGGTCCAGAATAATCTGAACACCAAAAGAAGACAAGCAAAGTAAAAAAGAAAGGAAACTTCAAGGCTAATCTTACTCAAGAACATAGAAGAATCTCAAACAAAATAGTAAATAAAGTCCTGTAATGCCTAAAAAAATAAATACATCATGAACATAATGGGTTTATTCCCATTATGCAAATACAACATTTGTTTAACAACAGAAAAATCAAGCAAAACCTACCATGTTAACAGATTAAAGGAAGGAAAAAATTACGATCTCAAGAAACACTGAAAGAATCATTTGATAAAAACCTAACACCCATTCATGATACAAAGTACTTAGCAAACCAAGAAAAAAAGGAAAATTTAAAAACCTGATAAAGGATATCTACTAAAAAACTATAGCAAACAGCATTAATGGTCAAATAGTCTCTTTAAAAACAGGAATAAAGCAAGGATACCCAATATCACTGCTTCTATTCAATACTTTTCAGAGGATCTAGCTAGTGCAGTAAGGTAATAGTATAAGAATTAGAGAAGAAACATAATTGTCATTATTTGTAAATGATATGATTGCCTACATAGAAAACTGAAAAGAATTTACAGATAAATTATTAGGATTAATAAGAGATATAGGAAGATAGGTGGACATAAAGTTAACAAAATTTATGACAAAAAAATGAACTGCATTTTATGTGTAATAGTTATGAAACATAAATTTTAAAAGATAGAATGGTAGCAATAAAAAATATAAAGTACCTAAGAATAAACAAACAAAATGTGGAAAGACTTCTGCTTCTGGCCTTGATGTAGTAGTAGAGACCAGATCTAGCCTTTCAGCTGAAACAATAGAAAAACTGGGCAGAATATATTAAACAGTTTTCAAGACACTGAGCATCAGGCAACAAAGGAGTCACCTCCAAGATGGGAAACAAACAACTGACCCAGCTTACTGCCTTGAGATTTTCCAGGTGACAGTGAAGAAACCATGTGGAGCCCGAGGACTCCCTGAGTTAAGAGGATGAATTTGGGGACAGCAGAGTGGCTGGAGTTTGCAGGACAGAATATTGGAGAGAAATGAACTATACTGAAAACTTGGGAGATCTAGAGGGGTCCCCTCAAGTAGCCAACAGAATGTTGATTAAATAAATGTGAAAGATAAAACTTTCGTAAAAGGAAAGACTAAAAAATGTGACTTCCTTAATTAAAATGAACAATGTTTAATAAAACACACCATGAAGAAAGGTCACAAACTAAGTGACGGTATTAGCCACATAAATTACCAACACCTAAGAATAAATAAGGAATCCTGCAACTCAGCAAGAAAAAAAAACCCAATAAAAATTTTAGTAGAAGATACAAACAGGCTTTATGCAAGATAGAAAACCTGAATGGCTAACAAACACATGAAAGATTCTCAATTTCATTTGTGATCCAGAAGTAAAAATTAGGATCACAATAAGAAACCATTTAAAACTACTAGAGCATTATAAATTAAGAAACATTGAAAATACAGAACAATAGGAACTCTGATACACTGTTGTTGGGAGTGAGGATTGACATAACCACCTTGGAAAACAATTTTAACTTGCACACACCCTGTGATCCAGCAATTCCACATCTCGGTAAAAGACCCTAAAAAGATTCAAACACTTGGATCAAGAGACATTTAAAAAGAATATTCAAAGCAATATTGTATAAATTATAAAAAATAAAACCAGGGAACAATCAAAATGTGCACGGCAGGAAAATGGATAAATTGTAACTCAGAACAGTGGAAGTAATAGAATACGCAAATAACGAGTGTGAACCTTAGAAACAATATTGAGTGAAAAAACTAAGTTGCAGAAGACTATGTATAATAAAATACCATTGTATAAAGCTCAGAAACAAGAGAAAATAAACATGACATTGTTTAGGTCAATGTGTATATGTGGTTGTAATGAAGAAATGATCATTACAATAATCAAGAGATTAGTTACTTTTGGGATGGAGTTACCTCTACGCAGAAGGATCCAAGAAGGACACACAAGGAGTCTGCATGGTTTCTAGTCATTTTCTGTTTCTTATATTAGGTTCATTTTTTTATCAACCTTTCCTAGCTTTATATCTATTGTGTATACTAAACAATACTCACACAAAATTTAGAAAAATTTGGGCACAAAATAGGATTTGTAAATAATGTCTTTCCTTATGTGAAATATTCTCAATAACATTAAACAATAATTTAAAGAACTGAGTTCTTCTCTCCACTTCCAAAGCCAGCAAATACTGGATTATCTTCTATTGTTATAATGACTATAATAATAGCGGAAGCCAAGGAAACATCTTTTGCATGACAGTTGTCATGGAATCAGATTTTTTGTAAATAAATAATTTATATTCTGGACTGTCCACCAGAAGAAATACAAAGACAACATACACAAACATAAAACCAAGAACATTTCTCTATATCAGTAATAATCACAAGAATATACCATCAAAACATTCACAACAGCCATGACGACTGAATTTTATTGAAGCGTCCTTCATAGGATTCTAACCGGCAAAACGGTGATTATAACATACATCTGGAGGCACCCACATTGATCTTACTACAGGGTCCCCCAGGTCCCCTTTTCAGGCTTCATCCTGCTAAGACACTTCCTTCGCAAATGGAGCCAGGCCTCAGACGGTCCTCAGCCACTGCTCTGAGGCAACTGATCACAGACAAGTGGCCTCCAGTTCCATTACCCCAGCAGCTGTCTAATGCATTTGAACCACAAAATGGGCCCTCACTTCTTTCCTATCCCAGCTCCATCTTCATAAACTGTAACAGACAGACAGGAGTCCCCAAGGGTACAAAATACTTCTTTCCAGATAATTCCAAGGAAAGGAAGAAAAAAGATGCATACATGCTAATGGAGCTTCTGTGGCTAAAACGATTTATCTGCAGATGTGCTCTGACTAGCCACACCACTATCAATTTGTTATGCAGCAGTAATTGGAACTTACGATTTTGTCTGAAGGCAGTGAGAAGCGTTGTGTCTATCTGAGGTTGGAATCAGGGCATCTTTCCACTAAGATGCCACTTTAGCCCACAATTATAATAAACGGGTAGCTTTTAGAACTACCTCGATTCCCAACTTTCCCAAATTCTTTCTCTCAGACTCTAAGCTGGTTTCTAAGACTTGAATGAGAGGAAAAGAAAAACATCAAAATCAAAGTGACAATTTAACTAAGGGAGTTGATTGCTGAGAGAGAAATAGGACATTTTTATGATCCCAAAACTGGAAAAAAAAGAAAAATATGGAGTGACAACAGCACAAAATCATGCCTTAGGCCTCACCTGTGCTTAGCATTCTACTAGTAACGCAAGCACAAGCTCAGGTGGGGTCCAGAGGGGTTAAAGCGCTTGAAATCTCATTTCAAATTTGCTTATAGTCAGTTCTGGGGCCTATCTGGATCTTGTCAGACAGAATTTTTAAGGAAGCAAGAGAGAGAGATTTAAATCTTGGGCAGTCCAGTTAACACTGGAACTACTTCCTATTCTAGGTAGTCCTGGGAGAAGTCAACTGATTTTTTTGTCTTCCTTTGAACTCTGCTGATTCCTGCTGGTTTGGGGTAACAAGGATATGCTGACAGGAGCATCTGTTCTCCAGCACTACTTATCCTCATCTTTAAGCCAAGAAAAGATCTATAACAGTGCTGAGGTACCACTTAAGTGCCTCTAAGACAGCTTTTACACAGTTTTGGGCAAGGGACAGAAAGCCTCAGAGAAACCATAAAACACAATCCATATGGCACCATAATATTGTTTGTTCTGGGAATTCTGCCCTTAGACAAAACCACACAGTCATGAATACATAAATAACCACTTTCTGAGCCATCTAAGAAAGGCTGAGCTCTCAGTGAGCAGTAAGCCTTAGCCCAGGGGAAAAGCAGGAAAAGGGAGAAAGGGGGAAAAGTGGCCAAGCCACCCAGGGCAACCGCCTCATCTCTGAGGGACAGTGTAAATTCCACCTGGGAAGAGTCGGTGGTGGAACACATATCTTGTTTGTAATGGCCTCATCTGAAAAGCTATGCAGCAAATATGCTCCAAACAATTATCAAGCCAGACGCCTAAATGGTTAGAACAGCTGGTGGTATTTATGCTTTGGGTAGTAAGGTCTCTAATAATTTAAGAGAAAGATCATGATCAAGACTCTGAGACAAAGTCTTTGAAGACATCTGACCTGCCATCTCTTATGATTATTTCCTGTGTGGCTGAGAAAATTAATGGGATGAAGCCTTCACTATCAGCACAGAGAAGGATCCAGTGGGAGTCTGCAAAATAAAATAAAAATAGGCAATTTAAGATTTCTCATCTTACTCTATAAAGAAAAACATGACAAATATTTTTTTGAGAGGAAGTATACAATAGTTGATACTATTATTCCTGATCATCACAAATCTTTACAAAGAATAGGGAGATGGAAAGACTGTCACTTAGGGTCAGGTTACATGGCAGGAAGGGGATGTTGATGACTCAGGCATAGCTAAGGGACATACATTTTCACCCAGGGTAGGTATTTATCAGAGTGTTATGCATATGAGCATGTGTATGCATGTGTGCACACGTGTGAGGGGCTGTGTGTGGAGTGTCCCTACCTTATCTACAAGTTGCTAAGCAGTTTCTCCAGAAACTATGTGAGTTAGGAACAGATACTCTATGGAGGAATGTGTTTATTCTTTAGATCTATACCAACCTCTAGGCACTTGAGGAGGCTGAGCTGACTGGAGCTGGACTAGAATGGTCCAGGTAATCCTGAATGGGTTGTTCCAGGATAATGAAAGGCCCCTGGCATAACACATGCCTGGACCTTTTCTACTTCTTTCCAGTCCACTGTGTCTTGCCTTTTACCCTGTAATTTCACTTCTAAAAATCTAATCTTCCACAAAACATCATGTAACATATGCAGAGAGGTTTTTATTAGTGTTGTTTATGATGTTGAAAAATTAGAAACCAGCTAAATGTCAAAGAAAATACAGCAAAATAAAATATGGTATACCCAGAATGGAATATTAACCCCACCCAGTAAAAATGACAATTATGAGATTGTATCACAAATGCATGTGTCAAAATAGAATAAAATGGTGATGCTACAATGTTAAGAGGGAAAAAAGGAAACAAAATTTTATGTTCAATATAGCAGACAGGGTACAAAGAAAGAGACACTAAGAAAACTATGCTCCACATCTGATGAAAAGTGGGCATGACTCAGTCCCTGCCACCTAGGAATGTCCTTCATGTCCGCATGTCTGCTGTACGATAAAACTGCAACTCCTTAGGAAATATTCTGCAGTGCTGTCATGATCTTTATGTTTAGTTCAACAGGTATGTATGATGTTTTTATGCCACTGCCTTGCAGTTGTTAAATAGTGCTTTGTAACACTTTTCTGTTTTTTTCATGTGAACATTAAGGTTTTCCAGCCAGGCTCTAAGGGCAGAACCCATTATTTTCCATGTTTGGCCCTTACAATAAACATGGGTTTACAGTAGGCAATTCTAGTGAATCACTGAATAGTGGGTACATCTCATTTTCATAACCAGTGAAAATTACAAAATAGATGGTAGAGAGAGGGGTGTTGGGTAGGGTCAATTTCTGAATTTTACCTACCATGTAGCATTTCAATAACAGAGAGTCCAAAAGCCTGCTGAACTGTACTGAGCCTTAGTTTGCCATTGCAGAGAAGTACGGTTCTTTTCTTAATGGGACCTACACAGTAAGATTTCTAGAAATACAAAAACAAAAGTTGTTAAACTGATTGCAGGAGTAATGGTGTTAGCATAAGGATAAAAATGTGTAAATAGTTAGAAAAACTCTTTATCTATTACTACCATCAGCTAGACTTCAGTTTTAAATAAGGAGCTTTATGTCACACTATTTAACACAACTAAAGCATCAGAACAAAACACACCCCCCACTTTACTTTTCCTTTTGCTCTGCCCAGTCCCAAGGGTTCTGTTTCATTGCTAGGAACTGGCTTCCCTAGAGTATGACTAACGACACTACATAATGATGGATGGCAGCCTAAGAGACATCTGACGGTGAGAGACAATTGCTTAACTGTTTTATATATAACTAAGAAACTTCATATTTTCTTTACTGGGGAAAAATTGCCAAGAAAAACTGCTCTAAGTGGTGGAGTAACAGAGGATTTGCATAAGTAAAATAAACAAAATTGTGGTTAGAATTCACTTTGCTTAGAAAAAGTACAATTATTAAATTTTTAAAAATCTTAATAAATAGCCAAAGCAATCCTGACACACAAAAATAAAGTGGAGGGGGGATCTCGCTTCCCAATTTCAAGCTCTACTACAAAGCCACAGTAATCAAGACAATTTGGTACTGGCACAAGAACAGAGCCACAGACCAGTGGAACAGAATAGAGACTCCAGACATTAACCCAAATATATATGGTCAATTAATATACGATAAAGGAGCCATGGGCATACAGTGGGGAAATGACAGCCTCTTCAATGGCTGATGTTAGCAAAACTGGACAGCTACATGTAAGAAAATGAAACTGGATCATTGTCTAATCCCATACACAAAAGTAAATTCGAAATGGATCAAAGACCTGAATGTAAGTCATGAAACCATAAAACTCTTAGAAAAAAACATAGGCAAAAATCTCTTGGACATAAACATGAGTGACTTCTTCATGAACATATCTCTCTGGGCAAGGGAAACAAAAGCAAAAATGAACAAGTGGGACTATATCAAGTTGAAAAGCTTCTGTACAGCAAAGGACACCACCAATAGAACAAAAAGGTATCCTACAGAATGGGAGATCCGATATGACAGATCCGATAAAGGGTTGACATCCAAAATATATAAAGAGCTCACATACCTCAACAAACAAAAAGCAAATAATCCAATTAAAAAATGGGCAGAGAAGCTGAACAGACAGTTCTCCAAAGAAGAAATTCAGATGGCCAACAGACACATGAAAAGGTGCTCCACATCGCTTGTCATCAGAGAAATGCAAATTAAAACCACAGTGAGATATCATGTCATACCAATAAGGATCGCCATTAATGATACCAAAAAAAAAATCTGTCTTTATCCTACTGAACTTGATGTACCATGTTTGTCACATATAGACATATATACTGGGATCTGATTCTGGATTCTCATACTGCGACTACTCTAATGTGGATCTCTTTATCTAGAACTTTACCAGTACTGCACTGATTTGATTACCACATATATCTTCATTTTAAAAGATACAGAAAGTTGGTATCAGAACCAATCATAATATGTAAATTACTCTTTAAAAAATGGTGAAGAGGTATTTTTTAGTATTTTGGTATCATTAGTCTACAGTTACATGAGGAACATTATGTTTATTAGACTCCTCCCATCACCAAGTCCCCCCCACATACCCCATTGCGGTCACTGTCCATCATCATAGTAAGATGCTGTAAAATCACTACTTGTCTTCTCTGTGTTGCACAGCCCTCCCTGTGCCCCCCCACCACATTATACATGCTAATCATAATGCCCCCTTTCTTTTTCCACCCCCGTTATCCCTCCCTTCTCACCCATCCAGCCCAATCCCTTTCCCTTTGGTAACTGTTAGTCCATTCTTGGGTTCTGTGAGTCTGCTGCTGTTTTGCTCCTTCAGTTTTTCTTTGTTCTTATACTTCACATATGAGTGAAATCATTTGGTACTTGTCTTTCTCCACCTGGCTTATTTTACTGAGCATAATACCCTCTAGCTCCATCCATGTTGTTGCAAATGGTAGCATTTGTTTTCTTCTTACAGCTGAATAATATTGCATTGGGTATATGTACCACATCTTCTTTATCCATTCATCTACTGATGGACACTTAGGTTGCTTCCATTTCTTGGCTATTGTAAATAGTGCTGCAATAAACATAGGGGTGCATCTGTCTTTTTCAAATTGGTCTGCTGCATTATTAGGGTAAATTTCTAGAGGTGGGATTCCTGGGTCAAATGGTATTGCTATTTTGAGCTTTTTGAGGAACCTCCATACTGCTTTCTATAATGGTTGAACTAATTTACATTCCTACCAGCAGTGTAGGAAGGTTCCCCTTTCTCCACCTCACCAACATTTGTTGTTGTTTGTCTTTTGGATGGTGGCGATCTTTACTGGTGTGAGGTGATATGTCATTGTGGTTTTAATTTGCATTTCTCTGATAACTAGCGATGTGGAGCATCTTTTCATGTGTCTGTTGGCCATCTGAATTTCTTCTTTGGAGAAGTCTGTTCAGATCCTTTCCCTATTTTTTAATTGGATTGTTTGCTTTTTGTTTGTTGAGGAGTGTGAGCTCTTTATATATTTTGGATGTCAACCCTTTATCAGATCTGTCATTTATGAATATATTCTCCCATTCTGTAGGATACCTTTTTGTTCTGTTGATCGTGTTCTTTTCTGTAGAGAAGCTTTTCAGCTTGATATAGTCCCACTTGTTCATTTTTGCTTTTGTTTCCCTTGCCCGGGGAGATATGTTCAAGAAGAAGTCACTCATGTTTATGTCCAAGAGATTTTTGCCTATGTTTTTTTCTAAGAGTTTTATGGTTTCATGACTTACATTCAGGTCTTTGATCCATTTCGAATTTACTTTTGTGTATGGGGTTAGACAATGATCCAGTTTCATTCTCTTACATGTAGCTGTCCAGTTTTGCCAACACCAACTGTTGAAGAGCCTGTCATTTCCCCATTGTATGTCCATGGCTCCTTTATCATATATTAATTGACCATATATATTTGGGTTAATGTCTGGAGTCTCTATTCTGTTCCACTGGTCTGTGGCTCTGTTCTTGTGCTAGTACCAAATTCTTGATTACTGTGGCTTTGTAGTAGAGCTTGAAGTTGGGGAGCGAGACCCCCCATCACTTTATTCTTCTTTCTCAGGATTGCTTTGGCTATTCAGGGTCTTTGGTGGTTCCATATGAATTTTTGAACTATTTGCTCCAGTTTGTTGAAGAATGCTGTTGGTAATTTGATAGGGATTGCATCGAATCTGTAGATTGTTTTGGGCAGGATGGCCATTTTGGTGACATTAATTTAAAGATGCATTTTTTAATAATGTTGCTAGCACAACTATTTATTTAACTCTCAGAAAATAGAAATGGACCACACACAAAAATTTAAAGATTAAAAACTTACATGTAAAAACTAATATAATAAATTAATGCAAGAAAATCTAGACTGTTACATGCATATTAATTTCTATAATATACAAAAACCTCTTATAAACTGGTAATTCAGTAGGGAAAACTGAGCAACAGGCAATTCACATTCAATTGACAATGAAAACATGCAGACATACTCACATTCATGAGTAGTAAAGGAAATACAAATTAATAAAAGCAAAATACCGCTTCACACTTAATCAGACTGGTAAGGATGTGAGGAAAAAGTCTCGTAAGTTGCTGGTGAGCATGTGATGTCACATTAAGTAAAAAAGTCTATGAAATGCAATCTGGCAACTCTATTATAAGTAGAAACAAATAAACTCTTCAAATGTACACTTACACTTCTGGGGACCAACCAAACAGAAATATAAGTATGAATACAAATAGGTACATACGAGAATACTACTGCAGCACTATTTGGAGCAGCTAAGACCTGAAAACAAAGTAAATGTCCACCAACAAGGGAATGGCTGAATATAAGAGCTTATTCTCAGCATGAAGTAGAGTGCAACATATGATCCCATTTTTGTAAAACAATGACAGACCTCCACCATCCCCGAGCCTTTATACCTATGTATACATAGATCTGTGTGAGATTATATCAGTTTCAAGTAAAATATAGAAGGATCCATATTAAGCTGCTAACATGGGTTATGGGGAGGAAGGACAGGGCCAAGTTCAATAGGAAAGTGTTCATGATAAAAACAGATATGCTGTGATCCCATTTATGTAATATATATTTGCATATTAATGCATAAATAGATGCATTAAAATGTTTTAATGAACATAACCTTTCTCATAAGTGGAAGAGTATCTACATTGCATACAGAAAAGGTTTCAAAGTGAAATTACACAATATTTTTTTCTTCTAAATGTAATTGTCAGAATGAGTACAGTCATTCATGCTTTCACACCATGCACATGATTAAATCATGGTATATACTAGTATGTGTACCCACCTGGTTGGCAGGCAACCAACCTGAAAGGTTTAACTTGCCTTTATTGTAACATGTCATTTCAGTGATGTTCATATTAGACACCATCCTCCTTATTAATAAACTTTTCTTGCAGCCTTACTGGCTGCAGGAGATTTTATGTGCAATGGTAGTTCCTCAAAGGAGAAGTTACCTGGTGAGTGATGTGAACATAAGGCAGATCCTGAAAGAGCGGATACACTGGAGAGGATTTCTCTCCTTTATGTAGAAAGTCTGTGAGTTCAGAAAGGCGCTGCTGCACTTCAGTGAGGTTCCTTGATAAAATTTCCAGTTCCTTTGATAGCTGGCAAATTTCCTTTTCTTTTTCTAAGTTGTTTCTTTGAGGCAAATCAGGAGGTTCTGGGGTATTGGTGTGCTCCGCCATGCTGCTGGGTCTAGGCAGTGTTACTGAGTGGTTAACAGGCTCAGCATCTGGAGTTTCCAGGTTTATGGAGCCATCACAGATACTGGCTGGCTGGCTGATGATTTCTTTAATAAGGGTTTTTCCAGGCCTTCCACTTGGACTACTGCTACTACCTGTTAACAAGAGCCCTCTGTTTTGGTGATAAAAATCTGGGGAAAGACTTTCAATCAGCTCTTTTCTATCTGCTTCATTTAAGAGAGTACTGAAAGTAGAGTAGCCACTCTGGGTTTCACCCAATGTTATCGGAAATTCTTCTTCCAACATTACTTCTCTAACAATCAAATGAATGATATACTCATCAGTTTTTGAAGAAGGAAGAAATGCTAAATCAGTGGAATTTTGTTTTCCTACCATAATTAATAATAATTTATCTGTCAAGAAACACATGCCTTTTGGTTTTTCACTACTCTCTAGTTGAATATGCGGGATGTTTGGCATAAATGATGGAACGAGAGAATAGATGAAAATTGTATTACAGGTATTGGAAGCCACTGCCACTACCTGTGCTTTAGGACTAAATGCTATTAGGTCAGGAACCAGAATACCTGGAATTGTGACTTTTCTAGTATGGGCAACCTCTTTGTCAAAGGTCACAAAGACTAAATGTGAAGAATCCAGGCCAGTTCCCACTAAGTAGTCTTTTTCTCTTAGATAAATAAGAGAACTACCCTCAGACTTAGATCTACTGAATTGTTTATGAGTTAGATCCAGAAGATCTGAAAAGGAGTAAGAAGAGGGAGAAACTGATGTTTCAAAAGCGACTGCCTCCTCATGCACAGAGGGCATTTCATCACTACCTGGTGAAGTATACAGATAAGCCTCTTCACCACTAGGCAGAAAATCAAAGGTTTCAGATGCATTTAACCTACAAATTTTATCTAATGGAAGCTCAGTGGCTATAGCGATCTGTGAGTCTGCAGTGGCTCCAATGGAGCGCACAGAGCTGTCCACATAAAACACTGGGTACAAAGAGCTCCTGTGAAGAGTCTTCCGAGCACCATCCCAAATATAAGAATGTAGACTGCTGCCTACTGCCACTACCAGCCTCTGGCCATCCTGGGTCCAACAGGCACAGTGAATGAGGCCCTGGGTGTTGATGTTTGCTTTTACCCAGGAACTGTCACAGTGAACATTATGGAAAACGGAGACATCCTGTGCAGTCAACACAGTGAGGACGGCACTTTTTGGGTGCCACACACAGCCCTGAGGAAGAACAGGGAGTGATTCTCTAATCTCACAAGTCTGAGACATCAGCCATTTGCTTGTCTCTGTCGTGCTGTGGCATAGCTGCCACACAATGACATGTTTCTTGTGCTGGACAGCAAGCAAAGCGGGCATGTCAGCTGTACCAGATGGGGACCAGGACACGCCACACACATGTTCAAATTGTCCAATGATCTTTGAGTCCCCAAACTTGGCCTTTCCACAGTGAAGCCGTAAGTCAGTCAGGACTACCTGATTCCCATCAGTCCAGACAAGGCCATGAATTGGGTGTATTGCTTGATATAGTGCATTCAGCCCAGTCCTGAGAAGTTTTCCTTTTCCCAACTCCATCCTTTCTGATAAAAGTTATCTGAAGTAATTAAAAAGAAAGTTATACCATGAGAATATAATCAGACAAATGCAGAATGTAAGACATTTTATAAGACAATTGGCTTAGACCTTTCACAGGTCAATAGTGTGAAAGGAAAAAAATTTTTATAAAAAAATAGTTTTTAGAAATAGGAAAATTTAAATAAGGAAAAGATATTAGAAGATATAATAGAGTTATTAATTTTCTTAAGTGTGAATATAGCACTATGGTTATGTAGGAGGATGTCTTTACTGTTAAAAATATGCATGTTGATAAATCTGCAAAGAAGTAAAAAGCTAACCTTTTCAAACAATATGGCTTCTCTCTCACTTACCAACTTTACATTTCCCTGTATGGCCCCGGAAGATGACTGGTTAGCCAGAGACGGGTAAGATTCCTCAAGGGAGGAACAACCTAAGACAGGCACAGTCGCAGGGGGGCCATCAGGTGAGAATTTGGGGATCAACAGAGGTGAGGCTCAGAACCTCACCCCCCCTGCTTTGAGAGAAATCTTCTGCATCCGTGGATGTTTTGCTGCCCTTGTCTAGCCTGGATTAATACTTAGTCCATAGGCACACACCTGATCATCTGATCATCTACATTTGCCTTCTTACAGCACTAAACTATGTTTTCTACCTTTATCTTGCATCTACCTACCACTTCAGCATTTTATTAAAAATAAAAATAATAATAATAATA